CTGGAATATCGATCCGCGCGCGCTCGATACGCCGCGAAAAAGAGAAGGCCGGAAATCAATCGATTCTATCGCGACGACACAGGGGGAGAGAAACATCTTTGTCCGCTTCGATTCGATCGATTTGTCCCCGTGAACGACGAGTCGCCGTCGAGCACTTTCTCGTTCTCCGTGACGTTGATCGCGCGTAAAACACGGCGAGAGAGTGCCGTGGTGACCCTTCGCGCGAATTTCAAATCGGCTTTTTCCGGATTGCCGTAGAAATCGCGATCGAGACGCGACTCGTAGCAGAGGTACGCCGAGCAAGTTTTTTCACGAGGAAGGGAGGATAAGCAGCCAGCGCGAGGATTAACGGTGTTTTGTGCGGTGCCGTGGTCTAGCACGCGTCGCTTTCTAACGAGCGACTTTATGCAGACGCAGAAATATATTGCGCGCGAAAGGGAATTATGCAAAAGACTTTCTAGACGGGCAGCGCGACGAGTCACCCACAAATATACTTTGCAGTTCGGAGGGAGAAAACTGCTCGAAACTCATCTTTCTCCGCTTTCTCGTTCCAATTCGATTGTGCGAATCGAACAACTCTACACGCTCCGTTTTTTCTCTCTCTCTCTCTCTTTTCATGTCAATAAATCCGGGATACGAAGGGACACTCTCGAGAATTCTAATATTCCGAGCTGCAAGCGTACATTAGCTTCCAGCAAGCTATTTTTTAACGCAACTTTAGAACTCTATTCTATTTACAAATCTGAGATGAAGTGGTTCCATCATTTTCCTCGATTGTGAAATAACGCTAAAACCGTGTTATTTACTGGATAGATTTTCATTTCAATTGTGATTATGCAGGCTCGAACGTTTTGAGCTTATTAAAAATTACGATGTTGATCAGCATTAGCCAACAATTGTCTACTATGCAGCCGTTCGCATGTAAAGAGTCCTTTGTTAATCAAACATCGAATCGAAATACTCGCTCGACGCAATACATTCAGTTGATATCCGCTCAAGCGCACATCTCGCAAATGCCATTGGCAAGCGAACGCGTTACATTTCTAATTACAGCAGCGCTCTCCCGTCAAAGCTCTGCCTAAGCCAAAATTTCCGACTCGTTTAAATCCTCGTCGCGAAAAACGTTCTATCATCTCTTTTCAAAAGGTAGAAGAAGAAGTGGAGGCGCCATCACCGCGTTCCACTCACCCGAAAGAGAGATTGATCCGTCGTGTGTGTGTGTGTGTGTGTCTGAGCCTTGGACTTTTCCCCCTCGACGACTCTCCTCACTTTTGAGCTTTCTCCGCGTGCGTGTATACGCGAAAATCGATCTCTTCGCGCGCGCAAGGATTATTATCCAAAGTTTGTGCGCAGCGGGCGTTTGATTGACGAAAGTGATAATGCTAAAGCCAGCGGAGCTCCTTTGTACCATGCACCGCGTATTGGGCTTGCAAACCTCCTTCTAATTATGACATCAGTTCTCGCGAACGACGATATCCATCAAAATAATACGCTTATTTTTCATTCAAGTACTCGTTACAACGATTGACTGCTTGTTGCCCCCCCCCCCCCCCTCTCACCATACATACACAGGCACACGCACACACTCGCCAATTTATTTATTTTTTTTTCGTTAGGAAAACTCGCGTCTCGCGTGTAATTTATCGACGGCGCTTTACGTCGTTAATTACACGTACGCGGATCAATAATCCGAAAATAATTAGATGCTGCGCGCCCATTGCGCCTAATTGCACGTGTCGATTATATAAGCATACGCAAACCCGGCGCGTCTTTTGTGCGTCAGAAGCATTTGATAATGCAATTGTCGTCCCCAACCGTTTTGCACCAGCGCAAAGCCTTTGTTAATTTTGGCCCATTTACTTGCGTGGACGACGCGTTGTTTGGTCGAAATGGCTTCAACCGAGCTGCAGATTTGACGGGGGAAAGGGAGCACGCGGGCTCGTTTCGCCGGTCGATCGACGGCAAACGCATCGTAAGATCGAACGATAATATTGCCCGCGGTAAAAGAATAATTAATCGCGTGTGTGAGAGAGAGAGAGAGAGAGAGAGAGAGAGAGAAGACAGGGAAGTGGGTTAGCGAGACAGAAGGCAGCTCGCGAGCGAACGTGCGGATCGATGATACGTATACGAGGCCTGAAAGAGCGCGCGTGCTACGTGAATTGCGAGTTCGACGCGCGAACTAATGATCGCAGACGCGCGCGCGCGTACAACTTTGCGTCGTGGAATCCGAGATTGTGAAAAGGTCAAGAGTGTAAGGCAGAGCTAGCGAGTTTGTCATTTTGAGCCACTTGGCTTTTGCTCCGCGCGGCTTAGGCTTGTACCAAGGCTCTTTCTTTCTCTTCAAACTTTCAGCTTCTTTTCATTCGTCATCCTCATCTCTCTCTCTCTCTTCTCGACCTCGTCAAATTTCTTTCTTCCTCTTCTTCTTCTCCCCTTTTTGAGCAGTGACAATGCGAGTCGCAAAGCAAAGGAAACGTCCGTTTCATTTGCTGCGAAAATCGTCAGCGAGGAAATAAGAAGCGTTTAATTAAGCGCCTCGCGCGTGGGCATAGCAGCGCTATCGATTTCGAACAACACGCCTTCACGCGCGCACGCACACGCCAACAGGCAATACAGCGGTGTAATTGGTCTCAACATGAAATTGCAATAAAGCGGCAATCTTGGCACGAAAGCCGCAACTTTTGTACGCGAAAGAAATCGTATCTCATTCTTAAATCGCGTTGCGATCGGCCGCAAGGGCAAACATTTTCTCTACGCGTGGCAGCCCGAGTCTCGAAAGAAACACTTGGCACGCGCGCTCGATGCTTTTCAAAGCTAAAGCGAAAAATAAAAACGGGAGGGAAAAGTAATTGCGATACGCGCCGTAATCTCCGAGACCTTTCGACCTACAATCGAAAAAAGTACACAACGAGGAGTTAACGAGAGTATCAGCGATACCGGTTCGTTAAACGGGGCGCCGAGCCCAGCAGCGACGTCGCGCTCTCGACGCACGAAGGAAACAAAGAGCGCCGCCTCGCGTTATGGAAAATAGCGCGATCCGCGCGTCGTCGTCGTTATCTTGCCGCATTGAAATTCCACGAAAAGTCGGAGCGGAAAACAGCGCGCTCGGTTTTTCGAAAGCCTTTATCAATGCACTCGATCCACCCCCGTCCCTCCGCTCTTGCGAAGGCAAATGGCACTCTCGTTCGAAGGGCTTCGTGCCTTTCGAAATGAATTTTTACGCGAAAAGGAAAATCGGTGCACGCCTGCGCGCTCGTGCGCCCACTGAAAAGTATATGTTTATGGAACATGACAACGGGTAAAAAGCATACGTGCAGATTGGAAAGGTAACAGTATCAGACGTGTATTGAAAACGTTGTATTTTTATGTTTTCCAACGAACATCGCGTTCGGTCAATTTTCAATTCAGACCTTTCGGTTGCCTTTATTCTGCGTGTACGCGTGCGTGGTTCTTTTTAGTCTCGCTCGTTCACGGTTTTGCTCATTATCACCGTTTCAACAGGACGGGTATTGCGATTGAAATAAAACAGCCAGTTCCGGTGCCAGTGAAACGAAAGAACCGCGGCTGGAAGTATGACTGCATAGTGCGCACTTGTCCCATCTTCGAAGTTACGAATATTTCGCAAAAATTATGCCTGACAAAACTTCGGGGAGTCGATATGGTGTCGGAGACAAAGATTATTATAACGAAGAAATCTCTTCCATCGGCATGTCGGTCCGTCCTAGTGGTAGTAATTCCTCTGGTGAGTTTCATTCTGTCAACCATCGTAATGAACATTTTCGTGATTTAGTGAACACTTCATATAAACGCTCGAAACAGTGTGCATTTCATTTGTCGCCGTCGCACATTTATGCAATTATTAATAGCTCGGCTGCGAGTACAACCCCACGTCTCTTATTATTTAAATGAGCAGCGACTGTGATCTGTGCAGGAAAAAAGAAGACTTTTGGGTGACATCAAAAATAAAAAAATAATGACGAATATCGCCGAATAAAAAATAATTCAAATACATACATTCGGTCAATTTTCTATGTCTCGCAGCCACAACGCGACTCATAAAAATGTATACCCAAACGTTTCGTCGAGACGCGCGCGACGCTGGCAACCTCGTTACCCGTGAGACGCTTCATTCCTTTTTTTCCTCCTCTCCTTTCGATGAATATTTCAGGGACGCTTGAAAAAAAAAAAAAAAAAAAAGTAAAATTGCCTTTTATAAAAATACCCAACGTACGTTGACGCGCGACGGACGATTTACGATCCGTCATCGGCGAAACAGAAAAAAAAACGCTGGCAAAACCATACGTGGTCGCCCACGAATATTCACCCACGACGCTATCTTATCGGTTTTCGTCCAGCGAACCGGCGTCGCCACCGGGCAGATTTCGGCGCGACGGTCGGCCTCGAGATAGTGCCACGAGAGCATTTTTCACCTACGCGAGTCTATCTTACGCTGAATCAAATGGAATGCAAATGAAATGTTCGTTGATCGCTTAATGAACAACCAGACGCGACAGTTGTATATTTTTCATTGTTTCCCTAATTTCACCTAGATCCTCTGAATATTTTAATTGCTGTGAAAGACTTGATTCCCAAGCGAGTGTTCGTAATTAATCGAGTTAGTACAATTAATTTAGTGTTCAGAAATTAATCGAGCCCGAGTGGTCTGCGAGTCGGTATGAAAATTAACGACGTGCGCGTCGAATACCTTGATGTCCCGCCCATGAATCTTGTCGGTTGAAATTTAGTTGAAAAATGTAACACACAAAAGCTAATCTGGAACGCGCAATTACGCGACGCCCGTCAATGCGGAGCGAGTGATTTAAGAAATCCACGCTCGCTCCGCCCGAAATCCTCGGCCTAATAAGGCTAAATTCCAGCCCTTGGCGTAAAATATTTAGCATCTCGATTCGCGAGATGACTGCCGCGCCACAAGCCCGCAGCGAAGTTGAATCACGCTGATATTAAGCTTGCCCCGAGCGTGTCTTCTTCTTGCTTTACAGGCATTTCGAGTTTGGCGAGCTGCGGCGAGGTGGAGGCGTTGCCGGAATTGCCACCACAAGACGAGGAGCGCCTTCAGAGGGCCGCTCGACTTCTTCAGCAACGACTTGTTTTACGCCAATGGCTCGCCGATCATGGCCTGCACAACTATTATCAGAGGTATACGCGCGTGTCCCGTCTCATTGTCTCTCGGAAACAAAAGAACCTGTAATTGCCGACGCGATGGCGTTGCGTAAAGTCGCCGTTACACGTATACGCACGAGCGAGGGAGATATAGGAATTGTTCGTTGCTGTGGAAGGCGGCAGTCCGTTGCGTAACCCACGCTCGTTTCTCTTGTTTTTCAGATAAACTTCATTAAGCTCGGGCGAAGCTTACCTTCAAAGCCGGATTAAAGTTACGAAAGCTCTTGTTGTTCGCAAGATATACAGTCTTGCCAGTTGAACAGTACACTTATTTTATGCCGCGGTGCATTTTTAATTTTTTCCAGTTATCATTGTTTTCGGCAAACGTGCACTCGCACGCGATGAGAATTCACGTTCGACCGTTAGTTTATCGAGCACAAGCTCGTTACCGCGAGAGTGCAAAAAACCTCGTTTTGAGTCCGTTGCGCGTGCGAAAGCGAGCAAATTGCAAGTATTTTGTCCCCCTAGATTGATGCAGATGGAAGTTGTCTCATTGGAAGATGTCTACTGGGTGGAAGACAATGCGGCACGAGCAGCGCTCGGCAAAGATTTGCCGCGCTGGATCCAAGCGAGACAAACGTTGCCCACCTCCAAGGAGGATCTGGACGTGTTGAAGGCGGATCTGTGGAGCTCCGTGGTGAAGAACAGTCAGCATCAGGATGCCTGGACTTGGGGTAGGTTGGATCGAGTCTCACATTGAACTGCGGCGGGCGCGCGGCCGTTGTGCTCTCTCTCTTGACCTAATTATACGCGAGGAAAAATCGCTCGCAGTGCCGCCTGTAATTGCCTCGCAAGCCCCGGCGCGTCAACGATAATTTAGCCACAAGCGCCCCCGCGCGCCAAACTTTATTCCGACGAGAGGCCGCGATGAGTGTCCATCAGCTCGGACATTGTGATGCAGCTGGGTAGGTTAATCATCGATTGGCAGCAACATTTGCAGGAAACAACACCTCCTTGTCGTCTTATCGCTCGCCTTATCTTTATTCTTGCGCAACGTTGCGCATATCTTACGATTATATCGGCCAGTCGCACGCACGTTGTTGTTTTTTTTTTTTATAATACGCAGTTACTTTGTATGCGATGTCAAGTGCATAATACTCACGGCGTGCGTTGATTTTGTTTGCTCAAGCTCGCCGTTATTCAGTTTACAAACGTCTCGCGAGCCTCTAAGCATTCCACTGGGTTCGCTAGTGCTGGCCACAACGATGGATCCGAAGGCACGAGTAACGCATCGATCGATCACGGTGTAGAACGAAACCCAACCCAACCCACGCGTTCGTTTCATATCCGAACAGAGAGCGTGACTTTCGCTCTGTTGTCGCAGGTGGAATGCTGGTCGTGTCGGTATCGGTGGCCGGTTTGGTCACCCTCGCGGCGATGACTCAACCAGCCCTCGCCCCCGAGGCCAAGCACTCGCTTCTGCAGTACGTGACTGGCAAGTACCTCTTGCCCAGCAATTGTCGCGTACACTTCGAATGGGAAGAGCCGCAGCTCGTCGGCGAGACCATGACTTTTAACGTGAAGGTGAGTGAGCCAATCGAAGAACTTTGTCATTCAACGTTCTTGTTTTCTTTTTTCTCTTTTCCCTCTTAATTAAAAGAATGCAATTTGTTTGTATACTTTTTCTCTCGTCGGTCAGCTTTAGCGTGCAATCGGAAAATATATAGCTAAAGTGGGTCAGCGCTCGTTAAAGAAGGAGCGAGCGCATCGATAAAAAGGCGTATGCGCGTGTATGTTGCAGTTTTATCAGAGGAATGGGCAACCGTATCCAATATGCGACAAGGATAATCTAATCGTCGAAGTGACGGAGGGCACACGTAGAGTAGCGACTCATATAGAACTAGGCGGTACGGACCCAATGGCAGCCAACACGGCGGTCGTCAAGTTCACAGTGCGCCACGCCGGGCAATACAGAATCGCCGTGCTCATTGGCTCCTGCCACGTACACGGCAGCCCGTTCCTCAAGAATTTTCTCCCGGGTAAATTATTTCGGAGCGACGGCACGTTCGCATCTGAGCTGGTCGCTTGCTTTTGCAGGTCCGCCTGATCCAAATAAAACGGTCTTCGTCCGACACAGCTCGACCGTCGTCTGTACAGCTAGCATCGCCCATTCGATGACGATCGAGCCACGAGATGAATACGACAATCTGTGCGTTTTCGGAAACAGTGACAAGCCCGTCGAAGGCTACAATGTAAATATAACTCAGGTGAGCTTCTTGTGCTCTGACTTTGTCGTTGCCTTCTTCCTTTTTAATTAAAACTTTCCAATTGCACCGTAGATTGGTACTTCGAATGGCAATAGTACTCCGGTCTCGTGCAACGTGCAATTAGAGTACGACGCGCCTAATCAGCGAATTCTTTTGAAAGTCACATTCCCGAAAGGTGGCTGTTACCATGCTAATGTCAGCCTTTACGGGCTGCAACTGCACAACGGTGACTTCGACATCATAGTGCTAGAGAGTGAGTATGCACTGATCAAACATTCCCGTATCCTGTCCACTTTGCCGACTATTTGCTCGATGAATTCACAGGCGCAGTCGCTAGAGCTGTACATAATAACGTAGCTTCGAAAGATCCTGATATTTGTTATGCCGCCAAGTTGTTGAGTTTGCACGGCGAGAGATTTTCGAAACCGAAGAAGGTGTTTTGTTTTATCTCGCCCAAGCAGCTCACTATTAAAGAATACTTGTTGAAGTTTATACCAAAGAGACTTGTTACATTCAGACTTTGCCCATCGACGAAGGTACGCAATGTCTATTACATATTATGATAATATGCCGCCCCTGCTGTGTGCAGACTGTTTAAGGGTTAATTTACGATTTGCAGTTCCACTTTGATAGCACTAATAACCAGCACGAAGGTTACGACTCGTTCACGATCGATGACGGATGCCAGCCTCCTATTGAATTGATTTCCCATTATCGTGATATCATCGCGGCTACTTTCACGCTGTTTCTGTTAAAGAACATCGGCGGTAGCGAAACTTTTGCTGACAAGCAAGACTTCTTCTATCACGAAGTCAGAAAACATCATCAGAAACATTATCACGAAAAGTTGACTATGAAGATTCAACGGGACAAATTGTTGGAATCGGTAAGATTTATTATTGTTGTCAATGGGGATGAGCTAACACTTTGCATATCTTTGTAATGTTTCAGTCGATGAAAACGACAAAAGGATTTTCCGTTAGTGACTGGTGTCGTAATTTCGAAATAACATTCCAAGGCGAGCAAGGTAAATGCGTTGCAGTGCACAATAATTTTTTACGAAATGCTTCTGCCACAATGCTTTGACATACGATCGTAGGTGTCGATTGGGGTGGAGTGCGCAGAGAATGGTTCGAGCTGATATGCGCATCGTTATTCGATCCGGGAAACGGCCTCTTTGCATCCTTTGGAGAATCTCAACAAGCTCTCGTGCATCCTAATAATAAAAGGCCTTCGCAATTGAAACTTAAGCATTTTGAATTCGCCGGAAGGATCGTTGGCAAGTGTTTGTATGAATCTGCACTTGGAGGTTCTTATCGCCAACTCGTTCGTGCGAGATTCACGAGATCTTTCTTGGCACAAATTATCGGCCTCAGAGTACATTACAAATATTTCGAACAAGATGATCCTGATTTGTATTTAAGCAAAGTCAAATACATCCTCGAGAATGACGTCGAGGAGATGGAGTTATTCTTTGTCGAGGAGGAGTACGATAAAGATGGTCAATTAGTTAGAGTGAGTTGCATTTTTGCTACGAATAACGATCTACTTTGTGTTATGTATTTTTTAATAATTGCTTTTTTTTTGCAGGTCGCCGAATTAATACCTGGCGGCAGTAAAATTCGTGTTACAAATGATATGAAACTTCGATATTTAGATGCCTTAGCACAGCACAGACTAGCTAGTTCGATTCGTGCTGAAGTTGAGTACTTTTTAAGAGGATTGAATGAACTGATTCCGGACAACCTTCTCGGAATTTTCGATGAAAATGAACTTGAGGTACACATCTGACATCCACATTGAGATATAACTGATTAATCTTTATCCGACGACTAACATCTCTGATATTACATCTTGGCAGCTGCTTCTTTGTGGAACTGGTGAATACAGTGTAGCTGATCTTAGAGCTCATCATATAGCAAACGGTAGCTCGTCCGAGTTCCTTAAAGTTCTTAACTGGTTCTGGACGGCTGTCAGCAATTTTACGCAAGAGGAAATGGCACGACTTCTTCAATTTACTACTGGCTGTTCACAACTTCCTCCTGGCGGCTTTCAGCAACTCAGTCCTAGATTCCAAATCACTGCTGCACCTACTTTTGAGAATCTTCCTACTGCACACACATGGTTAGTAAATTGCCTTAAGCATACAATTTTTTTTAATCAAATCTTTTTACATATTCACTCTGTTCTTAGCTTCAATCAACTCTGCTTGCCAGACTATGAGTGTTACGATCACTTTGAGAAGGCGCTACTGCTGGCCATTAGCGAAGGAACTGAAGGGTTTGGAATGATTTAAGCAATGGAAATATCACCAATGAAAAAATAATAACTTAAATATAATTAGTGCAACTAAATAACAGGCATTGACTGTTGATGACTGTTTCTCTTCGCTCACTAAACGATTTGAATACGAAATAACGATTCTAGTCCCCTAGTAATTCTTATAGCAAAACGAAACAAACGTGCAGATGGGTAGATGGTAAAATATCCTTTTTTATACGGCAAATAACGTTATCTGTTTTTGATAAAGATATAAGGAAATTGGACTTCGCGATCAAACCTATGCAGTATAATTTGAAGACTATGCGGCTGGATTAATAATCATTTTGATGGAATTTCTACTAATAAGTGTTTTTTTGTATGGATAGTGGGATCATTTTGTTTACGTTCTTTATGGAAAATACGCTTCATATTGACCGTAAGTCAATAGGACTTTTTTAATTGTAAGATTTTCTATGATTGCAACTTTTTTAACGCGTGAAAACCAGCCCATTTCGTGACAAATAATAGAAATCTAACTTTACATTTTATTAATACGCTTTAAAGTTGTATTTGTAAATTTAAAAGAGAAACAAACTTGTAGGTTTAAGTAACTCTTGTTGAATGTTCATGAAAAATGTATATGTATTATATCTTTATATATATATATATATATATATATATATATATATATATATATATATATATATATATATATATATATATATATATATATATATATATATATTGTACTCCTGTCGCTTTAAGATCATGGCAAGTGATAATAATAAAAAATGCTTAGTTGTCTAAGAACATTAGATACGTGGTTGAATACAATTAATAATAATTTATAGGTTGCATATTAAGTAGGAGAATGTTGTGTATACTGCATTTACGCTGTTCGTAAGATACTAAAAATTGTAAATTTCCCACGTGAAATGCATAATAATGAATTAAAACTAGAGGTGATACATTAAATCAACTTTGGCAAAATCAAAACATGAGTTATTTTATTTGACCAAAAATGATGTGTATTTACTCATTGGATCATTTGGTTATACACTATGCCATACTGCGTCATTGTTTCATGTATATCTAATGCGATTAGTCATCAAATGACTCGTTACACAAATGAAAAAAAATATATCGAAATAAATATGACCTAATTAATTCTAAATCTTTCCACTTGTAGATTTCCATTGTAATCTTCCTTCATGCAGATTATCCGTATCCTAGTACTTTTCTTATGTTTTCATTTTCGGTTCAACTGGCCATTAAATAAAGAATCTAAAAATTGTTCACCCTGTCTTTTCAATAAACTGAAAACAAAATTGAAAGTATTTTATTATTGAACCAATCATAAGAGAGCGCTCGACTAAATATCTGATTGTCATGATGTTGCAAATGGTAAGTTTTACGTTTACGTTATTTTCGAACTCACATTCTTATAAAATAACTGGTATGGCCGTGGAGAAAAAGGATAATGTTCTAAAAATCACTCGAGGAGCGCGCACAAAGCTCCCTGCAAGTTGTAAAACTTTACTGCTCCAACCCGTTTGGCGAGTCCGATGGAATACCTGCTCTCGAAGATGATTAAGCTCCGACCTTGAAGCGAATAAAAAAAGCTTCTGTTTACAAAGACGCCGCGAAGACGCTTTCGTTGCAACTCGATTTAAATCGCTAGTGTTACATTTGAGCATTATAAGTATCCTCTATGCGCTTCAGTTTAGCCGCCTGCTCGAAAAGCTGCGTCTCGAGATCGGCCGCTCTCAGAGTCAACAATCTGCCGGCGTTCTCGCTCATCCGTAACCTTTCTTCTATTTCAATATTCTCCTCTTCCAGCTTTCGCAGCATGCCCTCGAGCTCCGACTTTTCAGCTTCCTTTACATTCAATATCCTACGATTTGAACGGAGCTTTCAGCTCGAGTAATAGCCTTTTTATTTTATCTGCTTAAAACGTCTAGCAAGGATGCCATTGCAGAGAGGGAAAACGCGAATCGCGTAGCTTGGCGTGCCAAGAAAAGAAAAATTACTTGGCAAAGCGCTGCAGCTCCTCTTGCAGCGAGTTCGTCAGTGCAATTTGCGTGGCTAACTGCACCTGCATGTCCTCCAGCGACAATTCCGCCGTGTCCGCGCGCTCGGCCCTTTCCGTAGCGATCGCCTCGCATGCCTCGACCTAATACGTACACGCGGCTTATTTATAAAACGTGCGAGCGTGAGCCGACAAGCTCGGGTTAATCAACTTGGAAAGCCCTTTCGAGTCTCGGTATCGGACGATTATTTACGAGTGTACATATTTCGCGTCGGTCGTAACATTTTACGTGGCTCTCTCTCGCTGACCGTGTTATGACTGATTAAAGTGAGCACGCTCGAACTCGTTGGCTAGTCCTTTGCGAGAATCAACTTTTTAGACGATAGAATGAAATTCAAAAAACAAATAAAACCAGACCCGTCAACGAAGCTTAAAAAAACGTTGCGATCAAAAGGTGAGAGCATTCGAAAATTTGGCAAGTGCACAGAGAATTTCGCGAGGATCGGAAGTTTGGAATTTCCAAGTATTTCAACGAAAGTGCACGCATAAGTTATTTGTTGCTCTAAATGCTGAAAATTTATTTGACGTGCGCCGGATTATTTATATTTTAGGATTCCAGCCGAATAAAAGAGACGCCCGGCAAAAGAGCCAGTTCAATCGAACTGGGAGGCTTCACCTGTTACTACCCACGTTCGCGTGCCGCAGCGCGGCTCGATGAAATGCGCACCACGAGCAAAAGAGTAGAACACGAGGGCAAAAATAGGATCATTGTACAGTGCACGCGCAGAGAGTGGGCTACACCACGTGTAAACGCAGAGGCTTGATACTGAATTCTAAATGGCTGAAACGCGCTGAAAGTCTGACGATACACGAGTCGTCCTCGGTTATAGGAAACTCGTGGCGATGCCCTCGATGAATACAACTCGATGGCGCGAATGAGTTTCGTGATGTCGACCTCTAATTCCCATTTTTAATTCTCGTTCAACCGAGTCCAATAGCTTTCCTTGATTGAAGGCGAAAATAAAAAAAAATTCCACTGTCATCGCATAAAACGACGACAGGCGGACGTTATTAAGTATTTATTGTAGTATGAATTACGGGGGAGCTAAATATTTCAACTATACTCAACGATCGTAACAATGAAAATGTCGAAAATAACAAATCAGGCGTAACTTCAAAATGACTTATCTTTCTTCGCGAGCAACTTGAGCCGCTAAGAAAAGTAATAAAAATGTTTCCTCGGTCGACGTTCAATACGCGATTAAATCGAGGGCACGCCGAGATGCAAAGCACGCGGCTTTATTGCCAGATGAGAGCGCGAAAGATCTCGGTTACGAAATTTCTTCGGGGAACACGTTGACGCGGTGCTCGCACCAACTGCCAGCAGATAAATCGCGCGACTTTTTCCTATGCACGCGACGCTCTAATCCTCCCCACGTGCGCGCGGCATCCTATTATGTGACATTGAGTCAACGCGCGGAGTGCGTGCGGTGAGTCACCGCTGGCGCAGAATTTACGAAAGAGCGAGAGAGCATTGACTCGTAACGCGTCTCGCTCCTCCCTCTTTGAAGCTCGCGCGCTCAAGCTTTTGCGGGGCAGCTTGGCTGCTCTTGTTTTTCGACATCTAGAACGCGGCGCAGCTTGGCTCTTTGGAATGCTGCCATTGCATTTTTCCAAGTGCCATGAATTACGCGCGCTCATTGATTTAGTGGCCGAATTAGGGTTTTTCTGGAGAACACGAGAGGCAGCTTTTTAATTGTCACGCAATAATTTTGAGATGTCACCTTTGAAGCTACTTCTGATTTTACATTTGGATCTTCGCTTATTATATTTTTTTTAATTTATCGTTTGTTTTGACATAATCGCATACTATCATTGTTCTTTATTTTCACCTTTAAACAAATAAAATTCATGGAAAGCTAACTGGGACAATAGTATATAAAGCAGAATTATTCAAAGCAAGCAACAGACTGTGATTACTAGAGGCGAAAATATTTCGCGTTTTGAGGTCAACTACTCATGCCCACTTTAAAACTGTTGAATTCGTCGCAAAATTTTTAAAATTCACGATACTTCTAGCTACAAGTAAATTAGTTAATCTTGTCTTGACTTCGTCGTCCTTGACGATGTGACGAAAGCTATCTGTTTAGAAGCTGTGTAAAGCCAGCAAAAAAAAAAATAAATAAAAAACAAAAATTAAAAAAGAAAAGAATCCGCGATAAATTATCCGCGCACCCTTTCGTCCTGGACAGGACATTGGTTCTGCCGCCTCCCCCGGGCAAAAAACTTTTTGCAGGCGAGGGAGGAAGAGGATGGATAGGATTTGGATTGAATCACCAATTTTCGCGGAAATTCGCGCGAGCGGGCTACACGGCACCTCTGCACAAGCCGACGCGACCTCGTTTGCTGACTCATCCCTCCCCCCGGATCAATTCTTCTCTCTCTCGCACCTTAGCCCCCGCATTGCGGCGTCCCAGCTAGCCTTTCTCTCTGTGTGTCTGTGTGGAACAGACCCCCACTCCTTTATACTGCAGCTGCCTGATCCTGTTTATCCGATAAGCGGCTGATTTACGACCGCATCTGCATCTCTCACAACTCGCTTGCCTCTTTTGCCACGCCCCGTTCACCTTTTTGTCGGAGGTCGCGTGCTCCTGCCTTCGTCGATATTCAAACAGCCAAACGACTCACTACTTTCGATCGTGGGACACGACAGCGGATGAATTTGATGAATTCCAGCCGAATGAAATTCGGTGGCTGACCAAATAGCTTTCCCCGCCGAGAATTTCTTGGTCACGGTCAGGATCACATTCCAATAAGCAGTGCATTGGCTCGTCTATCGATTTACCTTGGACTCCGAATGTCATCGATGAAACTATTCGACTGGCAAAAGAGCGCCGATTTCCATTGCGCAATGACTTTTCGGAAAAGCCCGTGCGCCCGTGCGCCCGTGCGCCGTGGGTAAATCAAGGCTCTCGGCAGCGTTCTTTCCTACACCCTCGCTCTATTAACAAGCTCAGCTTCGGCTGCCAAAACTTTATAATTACGCGCGCCAAATCTTCGCGTTAAGTTGCAAGACGAGCGCAGCGGCCAGTTCCGATGGACGACAAATGAGCGAAAAGTGGCGCGGCAGCTTTCATGACATTAGATAACAGGGTGAACGCCGGGCGAAAGAGCGACATTCCAACGAAACGCGAAAAGCGCTCGGACTTTTCTGCTTGCCAAAAACACGTAGTCTTGCAATTCCAACCCAGAAGCGTACATCTGTGTGCTTGCGAGTGTCTTTCATTCCGATACGGTGATTCACGCGCTCGAGGGAAACTTATCGCGCGCGACGTTGACAAGCACATGAGCGTCGCGGGCGAACGCAACGTTACGCAACGTTTTGCGCACCAAAAGCGTCGATCTTGTCCCTGGGCTTTTCGAATACTCTCGCGTAGCGCGAAACGAGGTGGCGAACCCACTGGTCCTCGCAGGCGCGAAAGGCGAGAGGTGCATAAATTACTTTCTCGAGTAGAAGTTTTTTGTCCTCCCTCAGCTTGACGAGCTTCTCCCGATCGCGCGCAATCTGCTTGTCGAGCGCGTCGATCTGGTCCCGCGCAGTTCGCAGCTCGTTCCGCAGATTCTCCACGCTCACCGACTGCTCGTCGCTGATGTCGCGCTGCCTCTGCGCCGCCGACTCCGCCGTTTCTTTTTCCTATTTGGCGCGAGTACGTATTTATGGAAGGGCTGTCGCTGCGAGCGATGTGATGTCACACCTCGCGGTCGTTTTGTCGGTGCTTCTAATTCCGTCGCAACGTAACGAGAGAGAGAGAGAGAGAGAGAGAGAGAGAGAAAGAGAGAGGGACGCGCGACTGCATTCGAGCGCGCCTGCAGCAACTGCGACCGAAGTGACGTTACGTTTTCTCGTAAGGGTTGCGGATTTGTGCGCGCTGGCTAAATTTGCCCGCGATGCGTTCGCTTCTAATTCCGTCCGATTATTGCCGCGTTTCGAAGTCTCGCGCGCGAACGTCTTTGTTTCCGTCGGCTATTTATGCGACGACTGTCGATTTGCGCCGCGACAGCCTTCTTTTCAGGGCATTCTAGTGAAATCGCATTGTCCGCGGAGGGCTTTGGAGTGGCCTGCTTCTGCTTGCAAGACAATGCCAACGGACGATTATTGACGTTAGGCTTCACGAGCGAATGCGATGGAAACGTAAGAAAGTCATCGCGCTGCCAGTCACAGTCCAACTGGGTTTACGACCGTTCTCACATAGTCGGTGCCAGCGCAAGAACGGAAGAACGGAAAAAAAGAAAAAAAGAAAAAAAGAAAAAAAGAAAAAAAGAAAAAAAGAAAAAAAGAAAATGAAAGCCGCGGGCGTAAACTGTAAAGGCATTCTAGCGAGACGGTCATTTACAATCCTGAGCTGATCCCGTTCCTTGGTCAGCTCGTCGGCGTGTGCCTTGGCCTTGTGCAGATCGCCGGCCAACGCCGCGACTCGCTCGTTCTCCTTGTCCAGCAGTCGCCTCAGCACGACGATCTGCAATTGCAGCTGGTCAACTTGTTGGCCGAGGCCCTGGATGTCGTGGCGCAACTCGAGCACCTCCTCGCGCTTGCGTCGCCAGGCGTTGACGGCCAGCGCGCGGCAGACCAGGCTCGTCGCTCTCGACTCGCGCGCCTCGCGGCTGTTGAGCGACACCCAGGTCGCCAATGCCGAGCAGCAGCCCTCCGTGCTCGAGCCGTCGTCCGCGCGACGCGCGCTTCCGTCGTCCAGGTGCGCCGACGTCGAGCCGCTGTCCAAGCTTCTGCGGGTAGGCCAAAACCATTGATTGTCCATCCCGCGCGAGATCGCCGCGCCAACGCCGCCGCGCTTATTTTCGATCGGTCCGCGTCGGACGGCTATTCCGAGCGCGCAAGTGCACTTTCTAAAAGTAGCCGAGTGCTTATTAAGTGCGCCGAACGAGGGGGGAATCTCACCGTAAATCAGCGGACTCAAACTCGCCGACAGCGACGAGCGCGCAAGGGCTGAGATCGGTCATAGACAGGCTGCGCCTCTTATCGGTGCCGAGCGCAGAGTCCTTAGGACTCTTAACGGGGAACTTCTTCAGAGAGCTGGCGAGTCTGCAAGGAGTTTGCGTCGATCTCTTGGCATTGGCGCACCTTATCGGCAGCTGCGAGTACTGTAGTCTGCGTCGTGCTCGCTGCACCAAATTCGCTGCATCCGACGCGACGAAGGGGCTCGAGCGTGCGATTTGAGAGTGGTACGCCAGCGGCGACGGAGTCACGCACTTTTTCGGCATGCTTGCGAGAGCGCACGGGCTTGTGTGCGGCGCGATCGACCCTTTATTGCCTTCGTTGGTTAGGTGCCTGCGTCGATTGCCCTTTGTTATTCTTCGAGAGCGAGTTTCTTTTATTTTTTACTTACTTTCGTTTCTTCTTTCGTCGCTTTGTCTACGTTAACTGACAAGGAAAACGAAGAGCCATCGGAACAACAAGGACGAGAACAATGATTGTGAATACTTTAGGAAGGAATTAAATCAAAGAATTACAATAAACGGATAATAACATTTAGTGTAATAGAACATTGTTACTTGTCATTTTTTGCTTTTCTCGCATCAACTTTATTCATTTAAATCAATTCAACTTCAGGACAAAAATAACGTAAAATAAGTTGCAAATATTTATAGTGTAGTGTTCCGAGGTAAAAATCCATTTGTATGATAAAACCAGCTGTGTAAATAGGCTTTTCTCTTTTAAAGTTCACAAACGTTAATTCTGTTTGCTTAGGCATTTTTTTCAGTTTTTTTTCGGTTGCTATCGAATGGAATACTGATTTGAAGATTTGTTGATTGTAGCATCAACTAAGATAAGTCAAACAAGTGAAAAATTTACAATAATGGAAGTTTTTCTCTTGCAATAATATAAACGTGTTTCTTGTTCACTTTCCTTCAACGAATATAAAAGGCCAAAACACGGCGTGTCGATATATTTGAATGAGTTTTAAATGCATGAATCATACTTTATACTTCCGATCAAAATGAAAATTCGGCGACTCTTGCGCAACAATTACAGATTGCAATAATGTATCGATTTTGCTTTAAAAATAATGTGCATTGGAAAAGTTATTGTTTTGCTTTGATTTATTCAAGTTCTTGAGTAACGTTGCCTTAGGTAATTGAAAAATCATGGAAGGTTTAGATTATAAAAAAGTTTGTACTTTCTCTATTACACTGTGTTTTTACGGAGAAACAACGAATAATAAAAACTTACGAAAATCTTACAAACTATTCATTGGGTCTAATGATAAAAGATCGATTCACTTTTATCAAATTTTTCATCTACTACTATTACTGGGACTTTTGGTGGTTCAAATTTCACTTTAAATTGCAGGTCTCCAGGGTATATGTGAAAATTCTCTGCAGTGTTTTCGAAGCGAAAGTAATTCTTGAAGTAACAACATACAACAATAACAACCGTATTCAGAGTTATTTAGTCATAAATTTTCTGTTAACGTGCTTCTCATAACACCGAAATCGTATCCAATCAGATTAATTAATTCAATATACGGTGTTATCCCTTGAATAGGAAAATACGTGCGACTTGTATACACTTTCATGAATTATTAACCAATTAATTAAATGTTATTAAAAGACATTTTATCTACCATGGACGATTACATTATAAAGTAGTAAATCGCAGTGAAATACGGTGCATTTGGAGAAAAAGTTGATTCGAAAGAAATGCGCATGGAAAAAACAAAATTACTTCTATAATTTGTTTAAGGACTCCCGAGGGAGGCCAAGCCTGCGCTGCGCCGAATGGAATAAGCACGATGTTTTTTCGGAAGTGATGAAGTTCACGAGAATTATGTGGTAAAAGCAGCGATAGAGCAGCGCCTCCTGATTCGAAAACAAACGGTACGAGCCTCTTCGTTCTCCAAATAAACCGGATTGTTGTGACAGCATTGCCACTTACTTCCACTAGGTGGCTTCCATTGCCGTCCATTGAAGTTTGCGTCTTAGGTGTTTATCACGCGAGCAGTAAAGCGACGAAACAAGTTCGACGCGTCATATGGAAAATGACACGATTCTAGACATTACGAGCGAGCGATTAGACTAAAACACATTCTGCGAATTAGAGGGGTTCGATGATATTGCGCATACGGCCCTGATAAAAATAGGTCACGTGATTGCTAGCATCGCCCACAATGAAGTCTCGTGCGCGCTCACGGAGACCCCGTTACATTATACTTCGCTCGACTAGCTCGCACTTCGACGCGACGGATAAAAACAACTCTCGTGATCCTATATATATATATATATATATTTTTTTTAGCTCGAATATTAGAAGGTCGGCTGTCTCACGCACGGGTACGTTTCCCGACAAAAAAAACTGCGGGCGCGTGGACAAAGAGAAATTCATAGCTCGCACGTGCTATATATATGGAGACGCGATGCGCGAAGTATACGCGAGCTTCTCTGTCTCTCTCTTCCTTCTTTTTGTTCGTTTTCTCGGAGATATACAACCACAACGCGACCTGTTCTTCGCTCACTTAGAGGAGCCGCGCGCGAAGATGAAGGATAAATAAAACAATAAAAAAAAAAAAAGAAACGAAATGCTGGCGACGAAGCGAGCGCTTCAGTTGTTAACTCTTCTGGAGTATAGATAGTACGCGTGTATATAGGTACGTACCCAGGCACTCACTCGCCAAACGGTCCCATCGTACGCTCCTACGACCATTCTCACCCGAAATAAATTTAGCGACTCGCGCTCTCTTCTCTTTCCGCTTGGTCACCACTGCAGTACGCCGCTCGCTTTTCCCCTCGTCACGCTCGCGCGTCTGATTTTGGTACAGCGAGCGTCGTGTGACGATCGTCGCCGATCATCAATCCCGAATGTCAACAATTGTCCCGGTGTGTCGGTCAATTCTTTTATCCGTCCTTAAGATGTGCACTATGCTTCAACTGCACCCCTACGTACCTCAGTGCAATCAAAAAGAATATACAGATCTTCGTCGATCCGTTCTATTTGAACTTCAATTGTTATCGCTGACGGAAATTAATCTTCGAATTCTCTTCCGCTTTGCGGAACGAATGTTTGACCTGATTATTACGCAGACCTCAATCTGCAGAACAAATCTTCAAGCTAATTCTACCTGAATGATGATCCTGTCATATCAGTGATAAAAATTAATTAAAAAAAAGTTTTTTTCGATTTCCGGAACAAGCAGCACGATTTAATTCTTGTAGACAAAACACGTTGGCACGGACGCTTACTACAAAACTCGATGAATATACTTCTCAGTTTGGATGGTCAGTCAATGATGACGGACACAATTGAGCGTTGACCGCACTTTTCTTTATCGTCAAATCACAACGTAATACACGTAGCTAGCTGTAAATTCCTACACAACCGAAGGAGACACGAGATGAAAAGAAAGTAGTGAATCGCGCGAGCATTAAGCTTGCGAACATCGCGTTCGCCGATAAATGTCAAGTGAAACGACAGCTCTAAATAACCCATCGATACCTATATAATTACAATTCCCTTCTCGGAGCAGATATAAAGTCGCGCGTCAGAGACTCGGAAAGAGAGAAATCAATCGACATACGTACATTAATATTATAGGAGGCAGTCGAAAAATCCGTGGGTTTAGCGCAGGCGCCCGAGGGCCCGCACGCGCCTCAAGTTGGCGCAGCGGGTAGCCACGGACTTCGCGCGGCGGCAACGTTTGCACAAACACATACGTATCTCGGCCACGCTCTGCCTCAAGTGGCGGAGGCGCGCGCTCAACTCGCACGACACACACACGAGCGCACGCGTACGTAACCGCGGCGGCCGCGACGGTGGCTCATAGTCAGTCAGTGTGCCGTGAAAGCAGGGGAACGGAGAACGAAGTGTGTGTCGTCGCTGCTGGCTGGTGCCGCCACACACCGAAACACGACGAGAGAGACAGACAAATTGTAGTATCGTTCGCGCTTAGTTTTGTCCCTTGTGCTTGTACGTGCGTCCACTATCAGGCTCAACTCTGCCGATCGAAGTTTGTACAAGTGTGAGTGCGGAAAAACAAAGCGGACGCAGTTTGTCGAGACTGCGAAGACAATCCTGTCCGGGAAGTGAGGTCTGGTCGCCGCCATGAGCGGTGTTAGCCAAGACGGCGCAGGCATCGTCGTCAGCAGGCGAGTGTCGACGCACTCTACGTTCTCTATATAACATGCACATGGGTCCTCGCACTCTTTTCTACGGCTCGGTCGTGTTCCTCGGCTCTTTCGTGTCTGCGCAACTTTCGAAGTCGAAGCTGGCGTTTCTTTAAGGTTAGCCCGCGCGCTTGCGCTTTCGCACACCAAAATGGAGAGAGGCGCTCTGCACGCAAACACCTTTGTCCTTAATAATAGCCACCGCTGCTTTCACGCGAGCCCCGAAAATAATGATGATCACAGCTTGAGTCCCTTGGGTATACGACGTCTCGTTTGTTCTACGCTACTTGTGCATTTATCACATCTGACAACAGCTGGTTATAGTGACTTGTAGGCGCACGACGCTATATACGTTCCTGTTTTTTTATTAGTCCGCGAGCCGCATTATTAGAACCTTACTTTCGTTTTCCCCTCCCCTCTTCACAGTCTCTCTCTCCTCTCATTTTCGCGTCTATGTATCTAGCTTGTAAAATGTTTCACTCGCGCTCTCGCGTCCCGTGGATAAACGTGGCAGAGCTTTCGGAAATCTTTCTTTCTCGACTTTTGTGTATGTGATACAGCAAACGGGAGACAGAGCATCATCCCATAACATTTTTATTAGGTGTGCTTGTGCAATTCCGCGATGGACGCTTCCAGAAGTTCGGGTCTTGACAGATTTTTTTGGCTGTTTTCAACTGGCCAGTTTATTGTAGATCAGCTGATCTTTTTGTTATAAAGCGACGTAATGTCCGTTTGGCTTTGTTGGAGGTAGATTGCTATACTCTGCTACTTGTGCCAAGATCATTAATATTCAGAAATTACTTTCACTACATACCTTAGCCACGCGGTATACTTGTTATAACTAGTTAATTGTCTCATCGATTTATTGTTAGAGTGCTAACTTTTAAGATAAAGAGTAGCTTTTATTTATTCCAGTATTTTGGATAAACAAAATTTTATACTTAAAATCAGTTAGTTTTATTAGATCTAATAAGTGTTTCTTGATGAAATATTCAGTTCATCATACAAACATTCAGATAATTTATCTGTAAAGATATGCTTCATAGAAAGTGCTAAAGTGGTAAGCAAAAGTCGCGAAGACGATACGTTATGACTCAAATGGTTTACTTTAAAAACTCTGAATGTTATGATCATATTATGATATCAAGTTCAAAAGTGTATATGTATATGAAAATTAATCGAAAAAGCGTATCCGCTAAATTATTAAATTACTGAGTAATGCTTGGCTATTCTAAAAGCTTTGCATAAAAATAGAAAACTACATATTCCAATTATTAAGTGATTAATAATTTTTTGACTTTTATTATATGGCACATTAGAGCTAATTCCTTTAAGATGACTGTACTTCCAAATCGCTATTTTTAAGCAACTAAGCAATCTTATGTTATATAATGACAAATTTTTGTATTTGTACATTTTAAGATCAATAAATCTACAACTCATTGTTATTATTATAATCACAAATACATGAACGTGATAATGATCTTGCATTCAAAACCTAATAACGTTCTGGCTGGTAAATTTATTTTTCAAAATTAAAAAGAAATGTCTGTCGATATATAAAAAAAGGTAGTCGATCTACATAACATTAACGTGAATATTTTACTTATAGATTTACGTGTATCTAAAAATATCTGTGCTTGTAAATATAGGTTTCGACGAATTCTTTTGGGAAGTTCCGTAAAAATGTGCGAAAGTACGAATTCGATTTTCATAACATTTCTTGTTATTGATGATGAAAATAGCGGATACTATCTATTTTGTTGATAGTAAACGTTTGTTGTCCGCCATTTGTTTATAATTTTTATATTTTTAATTTATATATAATTGCTAATAACTTAAGTTTATTTACAATTGATTTATTATAAATATATTTATTACTGTGACATTATTATTAAATATATTTATAATTTATTTATAATTCTTAACAGCTTCCAATAAATAGGTCTGATCAAAATCGATATCGATCTTTACTTTAACATAATTTACGGTACGCACGAGTAAACTTAGTTTAGACAAAAAACGATAAAAATTATTTATACGAATTTATTGTTGCAGAATAAGTTAATCGTGTCAAAATCAAAATATTCGATGACGTTATCATGGAAAATGAAAAATTGCGAGTCACTCGAGTCCCGAAAGTCAGATGTATGTTTATTTGCATGCACCCATTTTTCAAAAAAATCAAGTCACAGCGACGCCAATCCTATTGTATTTATCAAAAAGGTCTAATACCGTGATTGCAATTTTGTGTGCGTAAGCTATGACCGCAGAGAGAAATGCACAACTAGTCGCGTATGCAAAGTGAGATGGCCGATAGCAAAATAAAACAAAGATAACAACATTCTCCGATCAAAGAATCAGTTATTGAAAATTAATTTTTCTACTATTGATTTACAGCGAGTAATGTAAGCGTCAGCGTACACCTTCTGATTGATTTCAAAAACACATGTCAGACTTCTCCATCATGGATAGTGGATCGAGCGCAGTGAACTTAAGCGAAATCTGTAAGTACACAAATTTTCATCAGCATCATATTGTTTCTACGCACAAGAATAATTTATCCGTATTTCGTCGCAAGTGTGACGCGTATGAAATATCTTGTGGCATTTTTCAAATCGAGCAAACTTGAAATTTCGTGGATTAATCACCGTTTATTTTTACTCGTCCCTTCGTATCTATAAAACGGTTCATTTGCGGCAAAATTATCTTCTACAGCGCGCAATCTGTTGCCGTCAACTGTGATACTGCAATTGTTTTATATAAAGTATAATTCGAATTGGGGGTTCACTTCTGCGGATGAAAAATTGATAAAAAAACTCCACAGTACGAACAATTTTAGTAATGACATTTTTCAATTGAGTAATCAGAGAAACGTTTCTTTTTTGAAGGTAAACGAAGAATACGATGTATAAAAAAAAAATCAAGCCAACAACATACCTGCGATCGAATACGCCGCGCGTTCGAAAAAAGAGGAATGGGAAAGCAAATCTTCGATTAAAGACATAAAAAGTTCCCAGATCGTCGAATAATTTTTTTTTTTTTTTTATTTCTTTTTCGGCGTAAATCACAAATTAGCGCGAGCAGCACAACACGGCGCACAATAGACGTAACGTCGTCCGGGCCGCACTGCGATGCGTTCGTCGCATGAAATTACGCAGAGAACACTAGGCACGTCATAGCGAGAATAAAAAAAAACCGTGAAAGCGCTCTCTCCCACTACGTTACAGCACGCGCGAGCAGTCAGCGCCTCTCCAGTCTCGCGATAGCCCGGGAAAAAAAAGGCGCACGCGTGTTTCCCCACGGACGTGTGTATACACGCGTATTTAGACGCGCAAACATTATTAACGGCACTCGCTGATTCGCAGTGGACGTGATCGGTCAAACAGATCCAGCCTTCGCTCAGACGGTTCAGGCTGCGGACGTCGAGATGACCCGTGAACCAGCCAGGGCACAGCCACCACAAGTGGTGATCCAACAGCAGCAGCCAAGGCGTGCCTACGTCGAGATTGTTGAGCAACCGGCGAGCAAGGCGCTGAGGTTCCGATACGAGTGCGAAGGCAGATCCGCCGGCAGCATTCCCGGCGTCAATAGCACGCCGGAGAACAAGACTTTTCCTACTATTCGTGTGAGTGTTTCACTATTCGTTTGTAGCTTTCACGTAGATCAGTGAATATTTTGACTAGTACAGCGTTTGTTTGCTTTTTTAAAGTACCGAGCACGCGTTTTTATTGACACACAACCTGAAACTGATTATTTGTAACTAGCGACCGAAACCGAAAGCTTGCTAGTTTAACGCGTATGTGCTGATCCCGTTCACGTGCTTCCGAGCGTTGTCAGTCGGCGAGTATGCATTTTACTATCAATTTTTTAATTATACACATGTGCATTTACTTTTTTTACCTATCAAGACACCCTGAATTTTTCTATTTTATGTATTGAATCGAAACTTGAGTTGAGATAATACGTACGCGCTTAATTTTAAGAAAAAACGTAGCTCGTTTTTAAAACAAACTTTTTTTTATAAAAGACAAAAGCGTCGTTATAATGTAAAACATTCATTGACAGATCGTGGGCTGCAAAATCCCAGCAATTGTCGTAGTTTCATGCGTCACAAAAGATCCTCCTTACCGACCTCATCCGCACAATCTTGTTGGCAAAGAGGTCTGTAAAAAGGGTGTTTGCAGAATCAAACTTTCGGGGGATAATATGACCGCGTCTTTCGATAAACTTGGCATACAGTGTGTCAAAAGGAAAGATATCGAGGAAGCACTGAACGTCCGAGAAGCAGAACAAGTCGATCCTTTCGGAAGTAAGACCAGTTATTATTATATAATGACAATCACTAATCATTCTGCAATCTTCAACACACATTTATAATGTATAATATTTCTGGCCTTTTCCATAGAAAATAATAAATATTGCTTTTATTCTTGTAGCTGGTTTTGATCACAAACGTCAACCAACAAGCATTGATCTCAATGCTGTTAGATTGGCTTTTCAAGTATTTTTGGAAGGACCAGGCAAAGGACAATATAAAACACGGCTGGCTCCAGTAGTTTCGGAACCTATTTATGACAAAAGTAGGTAGACAAATTTTTACAGTTTTGTAAGCTAGTTTTTATAAAAATGGACATTTCTCTTTTGAATGATAGACTTACTTGATAAGAAACGAGTTAGGCTAATCCAAATTTATTCAAATAATAAAAAATCTACACCATTTTCAAAAAATGGCGCGGGAGGTGGAACTAATGCGTACAGGCACCTAGTGTACCTTTGCAGCGTTCCATGCGGACATAGTTCTTGAAGTTACAATAACAATAACAATAACAAAATGCACTTTTATAACAATCAATCCAATATGATTTCATTAAGACTAACTTTTCAAAATTTATTTGCAGAAGCTAATTCTGATCTTGTGATATGCAAACTAAGTCACTGCGCTGCCCCAGCTATTGGAAACATAGATATGGTATTACTTTGTGAAAAAGTTTCCAAAGAAGATATCCAGGTCAGATTTTTTGAAGAGAATAACGGACTAGTTGTTTGGGAAGCATTTGGAGAGTTTCAGCCTAGTCATGTTCACAAACAGGTAAGTTTGTGTCATTAGTACCTGTCGCGTACTAATGACACGAGACAAGCTGTGATATTTCCTTTTTCCTTATCGAGATGCACAAATTTATATTGGTAATAATATATTCAGGTGGCAATATCCTTCCGTACGCCGAGCTACAAATTTCCAGACACCAGCAACGAAGTCAAAGCTTACATTCAACTACGACGTCCCTCAGATGGTGCTACCAGCGAGGCATTGCCGTTCACGTTTACACCCACGTGTGGTAGGCCTGGTCATCATCTCTTATCGTTGCGCAAGGCTTTGGCCCGTAAAAAAGCTATTTGTGATTTGAACCGTGTGTTAGCGAGCGAATCTTATCTGCCGTCGCGATCGCGTATTTTGGACGACTTCAATAACAACGACGATCTCAACGATATCGATGTGTTAAACGCGAGACGCGCTTACAATAAACTCGTGGCTCTTAGGGCTCTCAACGATATCTACAATATTCAGCAGACTCATCTAGAAAATCGCAATTATCAGGTACCTCCGAAAAGCTCTATTTTTAGTTCGGCACGCGAGTTAGATAATAATAACGTCGAGACTATTTGCGACGATGACAAAACTATCGTTCCTGAGACTAATGGTTCCGTTCGCGATGATAATGCCAATGGCAACGTAGCCGATATCGAAACTAGAACTGAGCAGTTCAATTACAATCAAGTTGGCAAATGGGTGGAAAAAAATCAAGAGACATCAAGAGACATTTTGGAAGAGAGCAACAACGAGTTGATTAATGAATCGATAAACAATAGTGACAAAGAATTCAACGACTTGATAAAGGACGTAGTGGAACTCGATAGAATCTACGAAGATACTCATACCAAGCTTCTACAAGAACGGCAGCAAAATAAAGACCATAATATGGAGTTGGACGTGCAAGACAATCAAACTTATACCAGCTTGCAGATGGCCATGAAGAATCCGATTTGGGTTAGAGCACGAAAGCCCGACGAAAACTTACCTGTTCCTACATGTCAACAGAGTCCCATAATCGCTATAAATCCGGATGTTCCTCCGCCACGCCCTCCACCTCTCGTGGCTCGAATCAAAAGAGACGTAACGCAAGATTCCGAGGAACATCTGCCACCTTTACCGCCAAAGAGAATTCGCAAAACTCCATCGATGCCTGTACTTGCACGTCATAATAGTCAAATTTTTACTGAAAAGGAGCAAGCTCCTCAAAAACATTTACCTACGGTCCCAAGCTCTACTTTACCAAAGCAGAATAAACCAGGTCTCTTCTCCAAGTTATTTTCCAAGAAATCGAAGAAAGAGAACGCGAACTCACTATCCTCGACAAACAGTCTGCCAGGCTTTGAGAAAAACAATCCACAGGTGACTGCCGACAAATTGCCACCCACGGGCGCTTTTGCGACGAGCACTAAGAGCCTCGAGCTAATAGATGGTAACGTGACGCCACCATACGGCGCCGACTTGACCGAAGCCGAGCACTACGCGTTGTATACAGCTATGGCACCACACGCCACTGCCTCCGAGTTCGATGAGATGTCGTTTTATTATAGTCCCGTTGAAGGTGGCAAGATTTTAGCCGAGGGCAAGCAAGCCGTTTGAATTGCGGCTCATCGTCCAACAGGTGTCCTGTCAGTTTTTCAATTCAATGTCGATTAGCTAAATTTGGAATTGAAGCTTAGCTTCGACGCGCTGGTATACCGCGTAAATAGAGCTTCTTTGTGCTATATCGCAAATCGCGATTCTGTGTACTTAAATATTTTAAAAGCACTCGTAAAACAGCAGCTTTTAGAGAGAAAACTAGATTGGATTCTCTATGATCATGAATTTCGAAATGGATGATGCGCAGAGTACAGTTTCACTTTACTGTCGCCGATATTAGAAAAGAGCACTTTACAGAATTTTACAAATGTCTGTTTTGATAGAGCTATTATGCTTGCAGATGCTTATTCAACTTTATGATTTATCTTTGTTGAGCTAGTTCGTTAACATAGATGTTGCGTCTCCATAATGACGCAATACATAGGTATTTGTTCCTTGAAATATTTACTCTCTTAACCTTTGCGAGATTGTGTATGTATTTTGTACTTCATACACACACACACACGCGCGCGCGCGCGCACGCACGCATACCAAAGATTGCCACTGAATCGCGAAAGTAATTTTTTACATTATTTAATTAAAAGCATCTCTGTGACTTGGTGCCACAAGAAGTCACCAGGCAACAGAGAGTACGGTGGCCATTAAACGTGCTTTACTATGAATTTTTACGTTACCTGTATTTTTTATTCATTGTTGAATGGAATAAAATCAATGTATAACGTGAAATTAAATGTGCTTGGAAGCTCTATACAACTTTACATTTGATATAATTAGATTTTTGAAGTCATTGCATTGATCTTAAATCAGAAAGTAAAGGCAGCTATATAATTAAAATGATTTCTATCAATTAGTTAGATATTGATTTTTTATAAAATATTTAAAAATCTAAAAAAATATTTTAATACAGTAATTATATTTGAAGAAAAAAAGTCAATTTAAAAGAAAACATTCTCCCATGTGCTTCCAAGCATTTTTTACTATCAATCATATGTTTATAAAAAGATCTATTTACTTGATTATAAATTGGTGAATATCTTCCAATCTATAGACGGGAGAAAAAAGCCAAGAACAGATCCAAATTTACTCTTGTTAAGGCAACTGCAAGCTGAAGCTGAGGATCGTGAGTATCCGTTAATAATGTTCAAAGCATTTCTTCGCTTTTCTTTTCTATTTAACATTTGTATGACTCATTAATTGGGATTTTCAACGGTGTCGGTGGCGCCTTATATCTCATTTTACTCATCTTGAAATATTATTGTTAACATTGCCCACGAATCAACGTCATTTGCTTTTAATTTTTATTCACATTCATTCGACAGTATTAGACAATGAGGTAAGTGCATGATATAAACGTTACTAACAAGCTTTTCTCGGAACATATTTAAATTATCGTTTAAATAAAAAGAATAGCTTCTTTACACAATTTCAATTTCGTTAATCGACCAGAAAAGCTGATCTGAATGATCTGAATTTTATTTTTAGAACATGAATTAGATATTTTTTTATTGAATGCTTGCAAATTCATGTAGAAAATTTATATAATTTATATCTATGACGTTGATTCTACTGGTCATTGTATCCTTGAAGTACAATACTGTTGTGGACATAGTGACTTATGGAATGTTGGAATTTTCGTAATTTGTTGTAAACTTGTCTAGAATAATGTACTGGTCCTAATTCAACTGTTAATCTGTCCTGTTGGCCAACAATTGATTTGGTCCGACGTTTATGTTTTGTACTTTTTTGATAAGGCATTTTTATAAAAATATAAAACAAACGTGTATTATTAAACTAGTCAAATCAAACGCATCTATTTTGCCTTACTATGAGAACGAGTGCCTTTTTATAATATTCTCGATTCTCGCGCTTTCTAAAATCGACTATTTTTTATCGAAAGAAAACAACATTGCTATATACCGAAGTGCAGATGTGCAATATTTTTAAGAATATTTTTTTGTTTTTGAAGAATGATAAAAATATGTCGCTGACGATTATACAAAGAACAATTATATTTATAATAGCTGTAAGAAACAATTATATATGAACAATATATGTACATACACTATTGCGTAGTTGTATTATTTTGTTCGTTCCTCCATCATCTATACATTTCAGATTCAACATTTCGCACATTTGGATCTTCAGGTACGATGCAATCGTGTGTGATTTTTCGAGCATTTTCTGAAAAGTGTTTGGACATTAGGCATCGTTATCAAGCACTTATCATTATTGCTTACATATAATCATTGTTGCAAATAATTTGAAAGCTTTTTCATCAATCGCATGTATGACGTCACTAAAACTATTGTATCAATGCTAAAAAATAAGTCTTTTATTGAACACGAATATCTTTCGTTTCATACTTTACTAACAATATGTTAAAGCATGCAACGTAAAATAAAATTATACTTTAGAAGTTTTAGGAACACTCCGCGATAACTATAATGCAATATATATTATTGTTTATTTCCAGAACAAGAATTACGCCATAAAATACCCCATCGGAACTTAAACATTGTGAAAACCGAACCAGCTGACAGACTTTCACCGTTTGGAGGTCCATCAGTGTCACCGCCGATGTTCTACGTAGAACCTAATACAGCTGCACACAGTATGGGTGGACTACGGTAACGATCAATTATAATAATTATTTTATAACATGCATAAATTATCTTGATTGCAACAATATCTTTTTCAGGCCGATCCCTTCTCCTGGGCGAGCACAATCTCCTATTATTAATAATCCTATGTACAATATACCTCCAGTGCTGAATATGACCAATCAATTACAACCAATACCTACACAAGAAGGATGCCCTTCGCCTTTGTTAGGACAGAATATTCCAATCGAACAAGAGCAACCGTACATTTTGAACAATCCAAGTATGTTCCATTTTTTTTTTCAAGAAATATTAGATTTTGCTCCAGCATGAATAAATGTAAAATCATCTGTTTTAGATATTCTATCAGAAGCACTTGGTAGTGCACTCAATATAGAAAATTCTTTTAATAAAGCTCAGCCAAATCAAGAGTTCAATTTAAGTTTGTCTCAATTGGATCCCGTTGATTTCAATAATTTTAGTAACCTCAGCATTTCAGAAATTGTCCAGGTAAGCAGTTTATTTTACTGATGACTGTATCAATCGGTTACTCTATTTTGGAAGTCCGAATTTTTAGTGGATAATTTTATAATATTCTACGTGATTGAAGGGTCCACTTAATGGCGAAGCAGCAGCCGCTATGAACGATGAGCCTACTCATACCGACAGTTTCACTAGGTTGGCGAGAAATACAATAAATGATCTTTGTGAACTGAACGATATGTACAAACAAACACGAGAATAAACTAGTTGACAAGTTAAATGTATAAGGATATATTAGACGTTCGAAGTACAAGTGAATAGCTTTAAGATCAAAATTTATGAAGAAAAAACAAATATTCCTCGATCTCGGCTATGCAGAACTTATATACTCAAAATGTGAAAGGAAGCCCAGTTGTACTGCTTAAGTGAACTCTTTACATCGACAATTCTGTGATGAAGAAAAAAATAATCTATGATATTTGTGTGTAATCTCTAAACGTGGACACAAAGATAAAGCAGCTAGGTGCCTTTTGAAGTTTTCGGTTTTATAATATGACGATTTCGGAATACTATAAACGAATATAATTTCGTTTCAAAACAAAATAATCTATGTTGTGGCATAGTTCGTAGGATCTGTGTGATTTTAATTAGGCGAACAAAGCAAATGCGTTTGCTTGACTCAAAACTCAAATTTCTTAAAGATTTTTATAATTTGTTAAGTCCTTAATATTAAATTCACCTAAATCTTGTGCTAAGATTTTATCATGCAAAGAATATAATTTGGCATATAGATATTACGTGTTATCGTCGTGTTTATATACATATGTTTGTGATGTTTTAGACGTTTGTTACAATTTTTTAAATTCTCATTTTTACATACATTTTTTGTGATTTACGCGCGTATTTTGTTATTTTTACTTTCCTATAAACAAGCCTATAATTTAGTTAAAGGTATTTCGGTTAGCATGGAACTACAAAAAAGAAAGAAAAATTACATAAACACCATGACTGAGTCCAGTGTTACTTTGGGCTTTAAACATTCGTTGAGCTTGTGATATTCACATGTTATCAAGCAAAAGTATGTAAGATTTTTTACAGCATTTTTAAACTATAATAATTGTTACTGTCAATCGAAACTAAATGCCTTTATGAAAAAGTACAACGTGACAAGAATTTTGTTCGACAAATTCTCAATTAACAGAGAGCAATAGAAAGTAAAATGAAGGAATATAGACGCTATATCCGTCTATATTCTTTAGTAAAATAAAACAAGCCATAAGTATCTAAGATTCATGCAAAAGTTTAGAAAAAAAACAGTGTTTTTTTATAATAAAGAAATACTTTGGAATTATATGTACATATTTTTATTGGTACACGCAATATTTTCTTAATACTATACAACAAATATATAGGTATACGTACATGTGCATTGATAATGTACTCGCAATTATCGTGTAAGGAAATTGAAATATTTTATACTCTTACGAAACAGATTACTTTATAAAACTGTATGCGACAAATTATACTTCTAAGTGTTTTATGATATATAGAAATATGTAAGAGACGTTTTTATCAGAACAAAAATAAATTAATACAGTTATTTTAATTTGCTCTTTTATTCCCCTTTCAATGCATGCTGTTTTATTATTAAATTCATTTGATTAAAAAATGGTATAGTATTTATATCATAATTAATGAATACAATGCTAAAAATAAACAAATCACTGATAAAAATATTAGTTTAATCCTCAAGTGCTGTCTGGGGTTGGTTCGATGTCAATAAAAAGTGTTAGCGGTCGAATCAGCGTCGTTGAAATAGTATATTACGATACAAGTGTGGGAAAGTAGATGTCTCGTGTGGCGTTTATGCCCCAGCGAAGCGAGGGTGGAAAGGTACATGAGACGAGAAACTCTTTCCCGAACATGTGCCGTACCGTATTTTTTTATACGACGCGTGGAAAGTGCGATTTTCAACGCACGTTTTTTGCCGAGCGTGCGGGAAAGACGCACTTTGCGCACGGAGTGTCGAAAAAATATTTCTTTGTGGGGTGAATCTATTGTGATACTATTTACTGTTACTATTGATAGGTTTTGCATAATAAATTGTTTTTTAAAAATCAGTCTTAATAAAACTCTTATTTATAAAATTAAAAATACCAAAATTCGCAGTAAGCCATTGCAGAAATTCAGAGACGTAGTTTCAAACGGGAAAATCCTCAATAACGGCTGTGACAGACCGTCAACAGATGACAGTAGAAACACAAACTAACCCTTGACGTTTACCTGCCCTGTCGTTTCAAGTAGGAAGTATCAAGAGAATCTGGACACCAGACCAGTAAGGCGTGCAATGTGCAAAACAGCACCACCGCTTGAAAAATTGTCTTATAACTTTCCGTAGCAAATTCTTGATCATTGAATAGTCTAGAATTTTGATGGCCTGTGTCCTTCGAGCACGTGTACATCATTCAACGTACGGTGTCCACGTGTCGTGCAATTTGTCGCGTTAGCTTGCTGTTCATCAATTTATTCCCTTGCTTCTGCCATTCCCCTACTCGTCCAAGCGAACGGCACACGCGCTAGGAAACATTTCGGAAATTCCTAAATGCGTCTGAATTAATTGTCGACTCGATTTATGGTACTGAATTGTGCGGTATGAGATCGATAGGAAATAGTAGTTTGTCCCGTATTGTCTCTTCTAATCCTGACATTGCGTCTGCTGCTGCGATTAGAATGGCACATCAGGCAGCAAGGTAAAATCGCCGAACGACCATGGCAATGCGTGATCTAAGAACAATGATCCCCCGCGTTTCACCTAAGGGCACGCCGTTGGGAAGTCCCACGGTCCAAGGTGGCGGGCACAGCATAGCTCCTGCACGTGGAAGACACGGACGCGCGCTATCGTGGGCAACACGCGGAAAACGTGGCGCGGCGTGCTTTCTCCGTCGCAGACGCACTTTTCGGCCGCTGCCGCAACGGCTTCGGCCTTCGATTATATTCCACGCGATTGCAGATGCCCGGCGAGACGCCCGGCCCAAACGGAGGAGAAAGAGAAAATTCCCGAGGGAACTGCGGCTCGACGGTCGGCGATCAATTTCTACGCTCTTACCTATGTCTCTGGCATTGGCATCTGGGAGTTTCCCAGAGAGGTTTTTTTTCACTACGCCTCGCTCTTATCATCCGCACACATGCTGCAAGGCCTCCGCCGTTTTTTCTGCCTTTATTGTTTCGCGCGACAAACGCACAATTTCTCTCTCTCTCTCTCTCTCAGTTTCTTTTTGTATCTTGACAATCGCGCTCACGGCGAGGTCGGACAATTGTTCAACGGGTTTTCCAGAATTTAATGCTCGCAATAAAGCATCTCGGCAATGCCGAGCTTCCAAATATCGGATGTTGCTTCAACAGGAAGTTTCCTTTTCTTCGAGCAAACATTTCAAGACGACTACCACATGTTCATAATCAATAAATAACATCAAGCTACGAGATTTGCATGACAATGATGCATTGTTATTCATCACTTTTGAAGATGGAAAGTAATACTCGTTCGCGCGAGTATGAGTTGGCCGAGAGTAAAATCTCATGCACGACGGACGAGCGTCCAGGAAAAAGACGAATGACTAATTGAGAAAACCGTCTTCTCACATTCGGCCGCAATGGGTACCAACGTTAATGGTTTATTCGGAAGAGTCGTCCCGAATCACGTCGCCGCGAACTTGTAAACTCGCTTTGAAAGACGCCGCTTAGAATGATGACACAAGCGTGCGTGCGGATCTCTCGAAAGACGTTGGAGCTGCGCTGGGCGAGGTTGTTCGTCTCTCGAGGGCGCTGACCTATCTTGCGCTGTTGAATATTGCGACATGCGAAAAGAATGCACTGCTACAGGATTTTCTGGAAATTGGCTAAAGCGCATATAGCAAATGACAAGTGATTCACGGGCAATTTTTCTTTCTTCGCTTACTCTATCGTTGTTACTTTGAAAAATTACCAATGTCAGGAATGGAGAAAATCACAATAAAAAAAAATCGCAACGACGAGAAAGCAGAGCATCTCTGTTGGATGTAGTGTTTGTCGTGAATGTTCTCTATGTGAATGACGGCTGATTTTTTCACTGTTGAGAATTTACGGCGCGTGACCGAGCCTAAGCATAACTACTGTGCTGCTGGACGATCTCTTGGGGGCCAACAGTTTGAAAGTCGCCGTGGGAAAAAAAATGCGTACGGGTAAATGTTGCTCTCGTTGCCACTAGCCTTGCTTAAGCCCGCAGCGTTGACGTAGATTTATAGTAGGGTAGCTCTGCCCGCCGCGAGACTTTTGGAAGCTTTAGAGTCAAAAGCGTCATTTTTAAATATGCCTTTTTTCTTTTTCAAACCTTTTTAACGCCAATTTTTTTGCAAAATTTAGTATTTTCTTAACATATGCCGCATAATACCGCAAGATTTCGAAAGATAAATGTACGTTTGAATTCGACATTTGAAATTTCTTTTATTCTTACAAAAATATTGCTTTTTAAAGGTTGACGAAGTAAACAAAATCTCGAAGTATATTACAATGAATAAGAATAGTTTTTATTTGGAATCGTTAATTTTGACTGGTATTTTTTTATACAAATTAATTGCCTTTATTGTATGCTTCTACGAAAAAGAATAATTTTTTTTAATTTTGAATAAAAAAAAAATCAGCCTAGATTTAGGGAAAATACAATTACTTAATCCCGCACGATGACGTACCACCTTTCTACGCAAAGCGATCGAGTCATGAAACTGCCCCCAGACCCCCGAAACTTGCAAAAACACCAGAAATTTGTCAAACATCATGTTTGAAATTTCAGAAATAACACGCTTTGAATCACATACGTCGAGATCTTTTCGAATATTATCGTGCAGACGCGCTTGTATATATGCATGAACTTTCCGCGACCGAATTCGAGTTCACATGCAAATATGCGCGTAGCAAATTGGCAAATGAGTTCACGGGCACTGATCATCCTCTCGAGCTTTGAAAAAGCATCGTCTTTTAATTCTGCAATGGAAGTCACCTAATTCATAAATTTTCGATGAACGTGAAAATGTACAAAAAGACAAGGAATGGGTACGCGGACCAATGAACGCTGAACGTTTACTTTTTTTTCTCGCGACTTTACTCGCCTCGCGATTTGGAACTGCGCGCTTGGGGCACCCAGCAGTAGGTTGAAAGCGAAGAACGGCCCGGTGAAGTCCACGCAGTACAACGTATTTAAGGACTTGAGGTGATTGGTCTTTTGAGTTTCGTCTCACTTTTTGCCATTCGTGCCACTGTTTCTGTAAGTAGCATGGCAGGAGGACATTTGATTTCTCCAACAATTAGCTCGTGGAATCACGTGGATGGCGAAAGACTGCTGGTCGTAGGATCACGTGCCGGTCATTAAGAGGCTTGTAAACCATTTTCTTTGTGCCAGAATTTTACCTTTTATTCCCTTCTCGGCGGATAGTTCTATTATAAAGAAAAACGACACGGACGCCTGGTGTACACATGGACCTGTTGATACCATAACGCCGAGGACTATCCTTCTTACCGTTAAAGGGGCTTGAGTTTGGTCTTCGCTGCTGGAGTGACCTAGGCACCAAGTGATTACTGGTATTGAGACATTGAGTTCTGTTGAGATTTATGACTTTTGAATCCGCTATTGCCGATAGCTCTCTTTTTTCGATTAAATTGCAGTGTAAATTATATAACTGACATCGAGTATTAAGCAATGACCCAAAAATTGATCGATCTCTCAACGTAATGCTGAAAATATAAGCTATCGAGTGAGCTTTGGAATAGGAATAAAAAACAAGCGAAATAATATGATTCTATAACGTCTATAAATTTCAACAGCCGTCACAGCGGATAAAACACATTTGTTGCGATTGCGAAAACATTCTTTTGTTTTCAATTCAGAACGAAAGCTTCTGTTTCAAAAACAATATTCTCATCTCTCAGCGAGATTTGAGAATAAATACAATAAATAAAAACAATAAATACGCGATGAAATCAAGAATTATGTTCCATTACGACTGGTTGCCAAATTCTAACAGAGAAAATTCCAACGGAATAATCCGAAGCATTCGGAAACAGTGAAAGCAAGAATGAAAACGCCAAAAATACACTTCGATCGAAAAAGAGGGAAATTCTAAGCTTTATGTGATGAATAGATAAGTAAATATGTAAGAGACGCTTTTATCAAAACGAAAATAAAGGAATATGTTTATTTAAAATTGGTCTTTTATTTCTCTTTCGAATGCATGCTGTTTTATTTTTATTTAAACATGGTATAATATTTACATTCTATATCGTGAAGCAAATGCTACATATGAGCCAATAACCCTAAACTGCTACCCGATGTCAAAGTTCGATCTTCTACTTTTATTCATTTCTCTAAAAAATTTGTTCATTTGTGTCATTCATTGAAAATGACGCTTCAATCAAGCCAATAATAAAACGGAACCGACTCGCTATAGCGTAGCCATTCGAACGAGCCCGCACCGCCATCGAAATCGATCGAACCGTTGCCGGCGTACGCGCGAACACGCGTACAAAACATCGCGTGTCAAGCAGAATTTGGAAGTGGGCAAGAATCGCAGATTTTCCCACGTGACCAATGCAGCGAAGGAATGCCAGGGCACCCCGGCAGCTCTGTCCAGCAGCGACCAGGAGGAGCATCCGCGATGTCGAACGATCGGTCGCGGTCGCGGTCGCGGTCGCGGTCGCGGTCGCGGTCGCGGTCGCGGCCAGGTGGCGCTCGCCCGGCGCGTCGTAAAAGCTGCTCCGGCGACCGGCGAGCGCCTCAGTCGGTGACTATCCGCCGAGGAGCAAAGGCCTGGTGGAACAGTGTTTACGCAGCTCCAAGCTTTTTTCTCCTTCCCTCCCGTGGCGCTTGCCGTGTGTTTGTTTTGAAGAGGAGCGGGCATCACGCGGTTACATCGAACCAGTGCGTTGGCTTGTTGTGTCTCGTCGTCCATCATGTCGAATCAGCGACACTCCTCGGAGAATGCGCCCGTGAAAGAGTGCGACTCCGGCTTCGTGTCCTGCACGATAAATATGCGTGATAACTGCTCGACGAGGGTGGCCCAGTTGCCGGAAAGCATGGATCAGCCGATGGATCTCGAAGACGATTTAGCGGAAGCGAGCAATGTCGATCAAGCTCAGCTGGACGACTCTCGTACAGTTATCGCAAGTCCCAATGTCAGTTGGACGACGAGTGCTCGGAACTCCGAGGTGCAACCACCACAGCAGTCACCATTGAGCACAAAACCAGTGCAGTACTTCGCGCAAAATGGAGACGGAGACACGTAAGTTTATATTCTTTTTAGTTTGCCTAGCTGCTTGCGCCTGTGCTAGTTTTGCCTCGACACGGCCTACGGAAAATGCCGTTAAATGCGAATTTCACGACGTCAGTGATCGTCCAAACTTTATAAGATAATTCCGACTTTTCCTCGTGCGAACGGTTTTTCCCCTAATCTCGCTGCTATTTTTCAAACGCATTATCTAATCCGGTAATTCTCTCTATGTCCGACAGACAGCTGCATCTGAGCGTTTACGGCGGATACACCGACTTGGCGCTGTGGCTTATCGACAACGCGCCACACTCCACTTTGTTGGACATTAAAAACGACGATTGCTTGACAGCCCTTCACATCGCTGCAATGTCGAAGCAAGCCAGTGTCATCCGAAGACTCGTTCTCGTTGGCGCTGACATTACCATCACGACGCCAAAGTGGGCTATACGCTGTTTCATTTGCGACCGTCCATTGGTGACAATGGAAATTCATCGAGTGCTTTCTCGTTTCAGAAGGTATCATCCCTGCACGTCGCCAGGCAATGCTGCCATTCACATGGCTTGCGAGATGGATGACTTGGACAGCGTCAGAGCTTTGACCGAGCCTTTAACTCAACAGGAGCAAAGCTGGTTGGCGGCCTCTGATAGGCTGCCGCCTGTTCTCGGCAGAGATCTGGAGCTTCGAAACTACGACGGTACGGTTTTTTTTTCGTAATCCGCGGAGTTGGATGCATCGCTGATCGGTTAACTTTGGTATAATTGCACGTGTTTGCGAGCAACGATTCGCGCCGAAAAGGTAGGACGCGCGAGTTGCCTCCGTCGATCGATATCACGAAGTCGAAGCTCGATCGTGATTTTGGCGATCTAATTTTATCGGGAGGCCGATGGACCGAAACGAATGTTACGCGGTATTCTTTTTTACGACGAGTCGCGCGGCATTGGCCGGATTTTTCAACGAAGATAGCGCGCGCGCGCGAGCGGGGATTTCCATCGTACGAAAGGCCAAGCCTTTTAGGATACGTTGCTACGAATATACGGGTAATTTGAATTTTAAAAAAGAGCGAGAGAGAGAGGGTGACGCAATTTAGCAACAATCGCGCCTGATTTCACGAAGACCTTTATTTCTTCGTTTTGCCGATGCGATATTGTCGACGGTGCAGCAAAAGGCTGCGAGGCGAGGCGAAAGATAATAAATTCGGTGGGGAAAACCGGCGGCCGCTCCCACGCCGGCTACGACGTCGATGAAACAACAGAGCCGTTAATTGGAGCTTTTTCTCTTGAATTAGACGTCGGTCCAAGTGTGTCCAAGTGTAGGAACGGCTCCGGCGCCGAGCAGGCGAGAGCCACGATGCGATGCGCGCATTGCAGGGGAAAACCCCGGACGCGACGTGCCCAAGCTGCGGGATACGTCGTCGTGGCAGTTCTTTCTCTCAAGTGCGTTGCTCGACAGGATGGATCGTTCTTTGCTTTTTTTTTCCTCGCGCGTACTTTTTTTTCTTTCTTTCGCGTCAATCCTACGCGCTTCTTTCGTGCACATTGACGCCCGAAAAGTGGTGACCGGTCGTTAAAATTACTCGGCTGCTCGAATCTTAAATTAGGCGCGATTCTCGAAAATCAGCGGATAATAATGGGAGATTTCATTAACGTCGAATGCGAAATCGATACCGATACCATTGAAGTTAGTCCGCTTCGCTTGCTTTCCTTCCTCCAGTTAGACCAACAAATAAAATATTCATTGGATTTTCAGGCGTCAATCCTATGCACATGGCCATCAAGAAGGGAAACCTGCAGATTGTCAGGCATTTGGTAAAAGTTGGCGCAGAGGTGAACACCTACGACCCCCGTTCGGGTTTGACCAGTTTCCATTTGGCTATCGAAAACCACCGACGGGACATCGTGGAGTACTTGGCGATAGAGCACAGCAGCTGCTTGAACGTGCCCACGCGAAGTGGTACATCGTCTTTCGAGATTTGCTACAACGTCGACAAGCAATTGGCAGACGATTTGGTGCGATGGGGCGCCGCGCCGATCGTTCGAGAATCGGAATCGGACTGCTCCGATAGCGAATCTGACAGCGACAGCGACCAAAGCATCGAAATCTTACTCGACTACATGTCGGTGAGCGACGTCGATCGTTACACGAAAAATCAGTGTGTGCGCGTTTAGTTTCGTTATACTCGTCTTGTTGATAACGATCATTGACGTACTCGTTCGAGTGAACAACCAGTTGTCGTGCCTTAGTGGACTAGTATTTTTTGACAGTTGTTGCATTTTGCTTGATTTTATCGTTTGCAAAGAAAGTATTGCCGGGTGACTGTACGGCTGTGATTTTTACTTCTGTACAGTGACATAATTTGTTGTACGACTTAGAATTAAAATAGCTTTTTTTTTAATTCAATTTGTAAAGATTTTGTGAATTATGATATTGCAAATCACTTTTTATATCTGATACTGATTTTATCGCGATGTTTGCACGACAATGGTAGCAGCAAAAAGTTCTTTTTTTATCAATTCATTAAAATATTATGTTTCAATATTTATAATTCACGCAATTTTATTCCCAAACTTTGTAAAGATGCATAAGCGTGTGCGTCAGAAATCAAATTAGAATCATTTTCCTTAAAAAAAATGCTATTTTTGAAATGTTTTCTAGCCAAAATCGGTATTAGTCACTACTATTTATTAAGAATTTCTTGAACGTTGGAAGCAATGTAAAAAATTTTACAAGACTGAGTTGTTAATTAACATTCAGTAATGAATATGTGTATAGTACTTTTTATATAGACTAAATGAATTTTGTAAAGTGAATATTGTTTTATATATAAGTACAAATCTTATAAAATGTTATCGTAAATTCTAACGCAATATGTGCTTTTATGGCTTACTTAGTTATTACTTTACATTTCATTAGGATTTCGTATCATAATAAAAAATCATTATTACCTGCGAACTTCTGTTCCATTTGATCAATCTTAAACGTACGTACATACACAATTTTATTAAAAACCAATTTTAGATCATCTTGTTTCTGCTTTTTTCTTCAAATTTTCAATTTGAATTACATATAAAAAGCTACGTCTTAAATGAAATAACTTTATTTTAAATAAGATATAAAAGCAGTTTTAGTTTTTTATTCAAAACCTATTTAAAGTACACATTTAAAGTAATCTGAATATTCTTTCAAGTTAATTTTGCCATTAATTTTTCAAATTGATTATATAATTTTATAACTACAACATAGTATCATTTCATACCATTCCTTTAATATATGACATACTCGTAATAATAATTAATATATTCTGAGTAATCAGAGCATAAAATAAGGAGAGAACGTTTGTTAGTCAACGAAGATGAAATCAGGTGTTGTGAAATTGAAATAGACAGTGTTATTTATTGAGATAAATATCTGAGCACCAATTGACATTTTGTGTATCATATACGTGAAAATTAGGATTGAATGAATAAACCAATAAAAGCCATTCATATCTCGTGTACTAGTGTAACTTTATTGTGCTTAATGTAACGTTTACTCAAACTCGTAAAACATATAAATGATTTCAGTTATCTTAGAAATGAGCAAAAATAAGCTTTACTTCGATCCATCGTAATCATTATGGCTTTTTTCCTTCATACGCCGAACTTACAGTTCATATAGTATTAACAACTGATTTCGAATTTGAAACCACTAAAATAAATTAAATTTTACGAACACAATAGTCAAAGACTTATTTCTGCCTTTATGATGTGGTGAATATTTCATAAAACAATATCTGCATGTTTTCACGGAAACGTGAGATATTGCTTGACAAGGGAATTCATATAAAATTCCTTTTACCACTAATGTAATCTAGTGGTAAAGATAAAAGTTGCCTCCCGATAAAATTATCTTTCAAAAATATCTGTTAACGTATACCTTCAAAGCAGTAATCATATTTTATCTGTAAAGCATGTTCTTTCACGGCACAAATAGTTTTAAACAAACAGCTGTGTAGGTAAAAAGAAACAATATCTGAGGATACTTGTTAAAATTCAATACAACTCAAAACTTAGTTACTTATTATATAAAAAAGTATAAATTTACAAATATAAAGCATTTTAATCTGAAAGTTGAACAAATGCAAGAAACCTTTTCTTACAATATCAAATACTGGCATATCATGTTATTTGTAGATTGAACGATGCTATACTTAATAGCACATGATAAGATGAGTAAATGTAAGTTTAAATTTATAAAATACAATTTATAAAAGTTAATAAGTGTACAAAAATCACTGGAAATCAATTAAAAATTTTTAAATGCTAGCAAATATTTTTTTAATAGTAACATTTAAAAGGATTATCAAACGTTATTTTCTTGTCTTCCATGGTTACAAATAAAATCATTATTGTACTTATAGACCAATTGTTGCATTTTTATTTTGCCTTTTTGATTAATAAAACAATGTCATCCATTGTGCAACTAGGAAAAAGAGTTCACGAAATGGACAGAATCAACTTTGTGTATAATATGAAAATAACAAAAAGGTAGACATTGTGATAAATATACACATGGTTAAATTTAATTATGAATCGGGTTCGAATAATGAAGGAACCTGCTTTGGTACCAAAATACCAGATAACAAGTTGCCTGTACACAGCTGTTATGGTCGATGATTATCTAGGAAAATGGCAAATATCAAATGTCTCCGTACTAGTATTAACACCGATGCGAAAACAGCCCGACACAAATAACATTTTATTACAAAAAATGATCACATCTCACGTATGCCTAATTGTACTTCTCGAAAATATAATTATTTGTTATTGTACTATTATATTTCTCATAAAAAATAAAAAATATCGTTATCGATAATTCACCTCCTATTTATTCACATAAAAGACATAATTAAGCAAAAATAAATTCACAGAAAAATTGTACCTTCTGTAGTCTAAATTGTACCATCAGTACAATTCTAAAAATTTGATTCTAAAAGAAATAATAGGACAATTACAAAGCTCTACGCCTGCGCAAAGTGCATTTCCGGATGCCATCCTTGTAAGTTGTAACAATTAGTGGTAATTTGTAATTGTCCTATTATTTCTTTTAGAAACAAATTTATAGAATTGTACTGATGGTACAATTTAGACTACAGAAGGTACAATTTTTCTGTGAATTTATTTTTGCTTAATTATGTCTTTTATGTGAATAAATAGGAGGTGAAGTATCGATAACGATATTTTTTATTTTTTATAAGAAATATAATGGTACAATAACAAATAATTATATTTTCGAGAAGTACAATTAGGCATACGTGAGATGTGATCATTTTTTGTAATAAAATGTTATTTGTGTCGGGCTGTTTTCGCATCGGTGTATTAACGAGAAAGATGACATCAGAGACTTGAGCATTATGTATAATCCACTAATCCTATCATTGAGAAGGGGAGACAAAGAGTAGGTAACATGGCGATTATACTACGTAATTTTCAGCTAGTTCACAAGCTCATTTTTATATCGCAAGACGGCTTTAAAACCTTTAAGCTATATAAGTTAAACTTTTGCGTGTTTCTGATGAGGCTGACAATTCTGCTCACCGAAACGTCAAAATTAAATTTATGAGTCTGCTGAGATCGAGTGCAATATTTATTTTACATTTAAAGGGGTCGTCAACATTCTTTGAGTTTTCATAAAATTCAGAACTATTGCATAATCTCTTGATTTGACAGTTTAAAAAAAAGTTATGTAATCTAGTGGTAAAGTAGACGTACTTCAAGTATAAAAATTAAATTTCGTTAAAATGATTAATCAGAAGCGAAGACGAAGAAATTAGAACAGATATTTCAACTTAAATTATAAAAATAACGAAACACTCTTTGCTATACGCCTTAGGTGCGTTGTGATCTTAGTTTTCTAAATATTAATAGCTATTTTGTTTCGTTACTTTGTTTCTTTACTTCAAAGTCTCAAATACTCCTGAATATTTCGTCTGATTATAAACATTGCAATAATTTTGTGTTTGTGTTTTGGTTCTAGTTCTAAGCGAAAAAAACCACAAATTTATAGGAGTTAAACTATGTACTGAATTTATAAGATCATAGCACTATTGTTATTACCACCATTATTACTAGTTAATTAATATTATTATTATTATTATCTAATAACAACGACGTTTATTTTGCTCGTTCACTTTCACTAGAAAAATTGTTGACGTTTACAAAACTATATCTACCATGTTTTAATTTACCGTAAAAATATTTTCGGCAGACATTACAGAGTCAATGATTGATTAAAATAGAATTTGAAACTGTAATTATACGTTGCCATAATAATGCACGCAACAGCGCAGTCGCGTGTTATAAGCTGCTCAAGACTTGATCAAAACAGCGCTGCGTGCCTGATCCAAGCTTGGTCAGTCAACTGGTCAAGCCCTAGTTTGAACTTAGGCCAGCCTGAATTTAATTCAACATTTACGCCTGCTACAGCGTTATGGCATTATATGTTTGTGCTGTCAAGCAGTGACAGTTGTAACAATTGAAAATCATGCCCGAACGCAAGAACCAATTTGCAACAGTCGTTTCATGCTCGTAGGAGGTTTTACGAACCCGCCGTATTCCCAATCACCAAATGAATGCGCTGTTAATTTATTAGCGTGATGTGCATTAATTGAGCTCTAGGTGAGTAGAGTAGTGCGCCGACGAGCTTTCTTGAAGCGCAGATCGCACCTGAAAAGCGTACCGCTGTACGGGATGGAGGGAGGACGAACGCAAGGCGGTTCGCGCAACGAGTCACAGTATTTCGACAGGCGCGCAGAGAGCAAATAGGAAAACACTTACGTTGACGAATTGTATAATCGCCCACTGGAATTTCGCTGCACACGTTGAATCCACTGGGGCGCCTGGGGAATCAGCCTCCGCGGCGAAAGTCTGCGGCGCCTTCTTGCTCGAAACTCTTGCTGGACCGTGGACATCGCTTTCCCCTTGTAATCCACGCAGCGTGTAGCACACACATCCACCTATCTCACAAATCCGGAAGAAAAAATAAAAACGGCACAGCGAATTGCGAACCACGTTAGACAATGGCAATCGAAAGTATAATTCTTTATTGGCTTGTTCTGTTTTAACTGTTTTAACCAAGCTATATCTTCATAACAATTTCTTCGTCTCAAAGCACTCGGAATAAGCTTTAATATTTTTGGTTGCAAGCTCTAAAATCTCAAGTACTTCTTAGAAAGTCACTTTTAACATATGGTATCAATGCAAGTAAATTCCTTAGCAGACTAGTCAATGAGCATATTTTTGTTGGAGAGAGGAAGACCTTGGCTATATATGGCTTTCGTTCTTCCGATCACACGAATTATGATAATCGATTCTGTTTGTTCGTTATTTCAATGTTTTCTAAGCTGGTGCTGCATTATAGATTCACATGTTGTAATATGTTATGATTATCCATTGCATATTATGTTGAATTATATAACGTACTAAGAACGTTACTAAGTTCAGAAATACAAGTTCATCGGCAAACCGATAGACATATGCAGGTGGACAATATATCTATTGACAAATCGTATCATCATGGATTTAAGAGAACCAGCTATGATAATCAATGTTAATCAGTGGCAGTTATTTTTGTTGGTTTGTGTCCTGTTCTAATGAAGATATCGCGATGAAATTTTTTTCACCTCAAACTACTTGGAATAAGATTTAATTTTCACAATTGCAAATTCGAAAATATACATTTCAGAAAGCCACTGTTAACATATCATTTTATTTCTTGAAAAGATTTAGAACCATACAAGATCCAGAGCTTCAAAGTAAATGAAAATCTTTCATTAAACTCATTTTATTCGTTAGGATCTGTACTTGGAGACAAGTGGAGCAATTTGTCATGTTTTTATATCTATAAAGTAGTTTTTCGAATTTTATTGAAAAACATTTTGTATAATTTATTTGTCAGAGAATGCGTCGTTTTAAAACCACTTATTTTTTATTTAAATCGTTAATTGTTTATTTCAAAACGTACTTTATTATCACTATTATATTTATTTCTGTAAATCCGAGTAATAGTATATTACTTAACTTATTTATATATTATTTAGTGCGGGAAAGTAGATTCGTCCGGGTAAAGTATGGATGAAAATTAGATACACGAGACGAGAATCTCTTTTACGAACATGTTAGATACAGTATAGTTATTCAAAATAACGTGTGAGAAAAGCGAATCTGAGCGAATGTGTTGAAAACACTACTATACGAAAGCATACGCGAGAAATAAAACTTTTAGCTACTAAAACCAATCTATTACTTTTCATGGTTCATGGTTTTCTAAGTTAATCCACCGACGCACGATAATACAGAAACCTGTAAGAATTTACATTTTAATAAAACTTGTAATAATATTGTCCGAAATTTTACTATGTTAATTAAAAAAAACTATTATATAAATTAATTGACCCACCATAGCGTACACAGTTCAAAATACTTTAATTGTTTATTCGTTCGGTGCATGGATAGTACCAGGCGGAGCCGCTTTTTGGAACTTTAGTTGGTTTCACGGCCGCGATGGCGCACCGCTCCTACAAATTTTATAATTTCAAACATGTCTAAATAAATGTGTAGGAAGCGAATAAAACGTAACATAGCAAAATCATATCAAGAAAATTATGATATTCGTCACATTTAAATACCGCTGATCAGCTAATAAACAATCCAAAATAAATTAACTACGATCCAGGGAGGAAAGTATTATTAGCATATATCATTTCCAAATCAATTATTACCGTAGCTAGCTGTGTGAGTTTTTATATGCACAGAGCGAAAGTATATTTTTTTTAACTACAATATAGGAGTCATGAGATTTCACTGGTAACTGTTTTAATTAATATGGTAAAATTTCGGACAGTATTAATGTAGAGGCATGATTTTTTAGAAGAATGTGATATGCACTATTAAAAACACTTTCAATTAAGTATAGAAACTTGCATAAATGCGTTTATAATGGTTTAGGATTCTTTAAACAATTTAAAAAATATTCTATTATTTAATAATTATTGTAATTCCTTTTGAATACCACTATGTATCTCAATCACACTACCTTAAATTTGTTTCTAAACTTATAAATGAAATCAATCTTAAAATATAGTATGTAGGCTGTAATAAGCTGTATTAACTCTTACATAAATTAAACAAGTAGATGTTAAATATCAGCTGTTCAATTTTCAGCAAATTTAATACCCATGCATTATTTGTATGTTAAAATTTTCAAAATATTATGTGAGCTTTTGACAACATTTTTTCTTTTCTACAAAAAAATTGATAAATAAAGAAATAAAAAATCTTATCATTATCAAAACATGGTAATGTTAAAGAAAACCATGAACAAATAATGCTTATAAATAATAATATTTACATTTATATACAACCATGTTTTTCTTTAATATTCTTTACGACTTAATTTTTACACCTAAGTATAACTGCAAAAAAATTGTTCATGCATAGCAAATAAAATATTCTAGTACGACATTGATGAAATATTTAGTACAAAACGTTGAAAAATTTAAGCTTGACGTAATGCTATCTGAGTGGCAAAAAGGTAATGACAAATTTCATAATTGTTATAGTAAGGAATATTCTCATGAAAATAAATATTTCCTTTCAGATAACAGTTGTAAAATATTTTAGTATTGTTTACAAATTCCATAGAAATATTCCAGAAAATTGCTATCCGAATAAGAACTATTTCTATGAAAATATCTACAGTATTTTCATTGAATAAGTTCATGTAATAACAAACGGAACTACGGAAATATTTCTTCATAATGATATAAATTTACAAAAATTGTTTTAATAACGAGGGAAAACGTTTCAATGGTAGTACAACAACAGTATCTATTATTTTTTCTCCAAAGTCTTTTGTATCTTTTTTTATTTCATTAGTTTGTATTAAAATTTGTTTTATTTTTTAGCGACTGAAGCCATCGGATATCGGACATCGGACGTTAGACGTACACGAAGGTGTAAAAATGAAAAAATTGGTTGACGTTAATTTGTAAAATAAAAATAAATGTTGCACATGGTCTTTTCATACCACGCACAACTCTGTGGTATAATATTAACAATCAATTTGTTCTTTAACCTCAGTATTCGTTCAACATTCGATGTCCGATGTTCGATGGCTCTTATGTAGAAAGTCTCAGCAGACCACATATCGTAATTATTATTTGTTTCCAAAGATCAATTTTAAATTCGTATTTTTGTTCTAGAAAATCATCGAAAAAGTTGAAATCTGGTAGCTAACGCGATCTATTGTGAGCATATGAAGTTTATTCGACTGTAATTCTAAATTCTGGATAATTTTCAAACTCTGAAAGATTTGTTCGTCTTTTTTATTTAGACTTCTGTCACCAAAAGAAAAAATAAATATAAATTGTTTATATAAAAGAAATAATAAACTTGTTTATATCATTAAAAAAAAATAATTTTTTAATATGATGAAAACATCCGGAAAATACGATCCTTTTACAGTCTGAAAGTTTAATACAGTGGGTTGAAATTTGAAATTGAAATACAATAAAAAACACATCGCTCCCTCTTTGGAACTACTTCTCGTGTCATTTCATTACGTTACTGCGAATCATAAAGTCACTAGAATATGTTTGCGTCAGCTGAATGCAGTGGAGAAAAATTATGGATTTTAGAAAGTTCAGTGAGCTGGTAGGCACTGAATTTTAGCAATAGTTCCTTTGTTATACTAATGAATAGTCAAGATTTATGGTTGTCTTGCAATGTGAAGTTTCAATTTCGTCGCAATTGGATCAATATTTTATATGGATATTTCATTGTGATTTTTATTCGCCCTAATATAAGAGGAAAGTCGGGGAAATTGCCTGTTCTCTAATGTAGTTTATCCCAATTATCCACAAAAATGTATCCATATTACACCATGAAAATATATGAATATTCAAGAACTATACGCCTTCTAAATGATTATGAATGCTAAAAGTATTTTAATATTGAATATAATTAAATATTTAATTTTAATATTGAAAAATAGTGCACCTCTTAAAAATAGTCGACTTAATAATATCATAAGAAGTAGTAAAAATTTGGTGAAGAATATGCCAATTGCTTATTGATGGAAATGAATATTGATCGTCTAAGTGCGCTTTATTTAACTACTACTTTCGAAAATATTTGTACATTAAAATGTGAGACATACAATCTTGCGTTCTAATAATTGTTACTTCTATTTAATTATGCAGCTATGGTACAATTGTATCATAACCGTAATATCCCTTTATTAGATTTTGTGCTTTTCCTCAGTTTTCGCATATCATTTCCATTTTAAATTTTATTGAAAAAATATTCATCGTATCCAATGTATGTATAAATTTGTCAATCAGTTGTGTGTGCGTGTATACGCGCGTGCGCCTATTTATTTTTAATATTATTTTCGTTGGCCAGAATAAAAAAGGTAGTGCAAAAACGGACATAATAAGAGACAATTATTACCTTAACATTTGAGTATTTCGCGTGCTTTGTAAATGTTCGTCGCTAATAGGAGCGCATCGATCTTCTTTCGATACATTTACTACATGATCACTCAATGCGTACGTATATTTCTGGAATACTCTTCAACGGTCCGAACCTCATATATCTAGAAAAAAGCTTATTTAGTTAGATTAATTCTCTCGCTGAGACTCGAGTTTGGGCTGAAAATTAACTAACGCCATTATCCGTGTGTATTACGTTTATTCATGTACTGCTGGGGAAAAAATATATAAATTGAGTTATTGGCGCTCGAAAAGTGACGTGTTCTGGCGAGCTTGCGATCGCACACTTATGCAGTAAAAATTCTTCAGTCGTGTGTTCGGACGCGCACCTTTATACGCTGATCATAGTTGATTAAAAAAATATCAAAACAAACAAAAAATCAATGATGTTTGCTTCATTTTTATCTTTACTTTAGATCATCGCGCGCGCTCTTTTCATAATCTTAATTATCATCACATTTAAATAAAAAGTGTACAATTCGATCGCGTAATACACATGTGAGCTGACACGCTTATAACTTAACAAATTACGCTTCAAATAGGAAAAGTTCTATAGGATTTGTTTAAATTTTATCGCGTGTGTTATCCTTATTTTCTTTTTTTATTATACTCCATTCAATAATCAATGATTTTTTTTTCATGAAATTCCATTTAAATACACAATTTCATACGTCCATAACATCGCTGTTAATATTTTTATACATTGCAGTTTGTCAAAAAATATACAATAGAACCTTCCGATCGTCTCTCTCGTTTACTGATTGATGGTCGTGACAATTATATAATTATAACAAGAGAATTGTGAGAGGGTTTAGCAAATAAAATTGATGATGTAAAAATCTTGGAAAACGAAAAAGAAAAATGGAATAAAGTTTATGCGGAGTGTTTCATCGTGTTCGCGCATTCATCTCTCTCTCTCTCTCTCTTCTCTCTTTCTCTCTTTCTCTCTTTCTCTTTCTCTCTTTCTCTCTTTCTCTCTTTCTCTTTCTCTCTTTCTCTCTCTCTCTTTCTCTCTCTCTCTCTCTCTCTTTCTCTCTCTCTTTCTCTCTCTCTCGTCAAAATACAAACTTTATTCTTCATTATAAATTGCATAATTATTTTCCATTTTCACCGAGTTCCATTTGTTGCAAAATCGCTGACGAATTATCGACTCTCCTCCCCCGATTCTGAAACATGCCCGAATGTCTAAAAGTGTGTATAACAACATCTCCGCATAACGTTTACATTACACTTATTAGCGTTAATAATAAAATTGTTTCTTATTCCATAACTTTATACATGCTATGTATAATTATTATGCAATGTTAAAGTCATACATTATACTCATGCATACTACCCGGCGCGAGCTTTGCATTTCAGCATTCGGTTGCGTGATTAACAGAGAGGCGACAGCACGTTTTAAAAGTACCAAAGTTTGTATAAATTAATTGCATGGCTCTCGTCAGTTTAAAAATCAAATCAAGTTCGCTATTCCCATCAAGTGTATTATGACAAAGAATGATTCGTATCATTTATAAAACCTGCCTGTTAACGTACTTCACTGAGATTATCAAATTCAATTATCGTTCGCGCGTCTGTAAGATGTCACGTGTATTGTTTCTTTCTTTTCAGTCGTTTAATTACATATGCCATGAGAATTTGCAAAATTTGACAATTGACAATAAACGGAAAGAGAAGATAAGAATGAGGTTTTTTTTTTAAAGAAAGTAGGAAAAACTAAGTCACGCGCGCACTAGGTGAGAGACATTCGTTGAATTACAAATAAAAAATTGATCTTCAAATGTAAAAAAAATTATCATCCATAAATGTCCATTTTACACTATTTAAATACAATAGAGTTTTTTTTCTTATATCTTAAATAAGTTTTCATTATTAAACTGTCCTGTGAAGAGAAGCCAAATGACAGTAAATATCAGATTATGTTTTCGAGTTTCGTTCGATGAGTTGGCTTTGGACAAAAAGAAACGAAAACGTAATCCGAAGACTAGATATGATTCCCTATGCAAATTGTAATGCCTTTGCCAAAAATCTTTCATTCTTATATATTTTGAGCTGATGAATCCGAATTCATAACTGGATTTTTCGAAAAAATGTTATTAATTTGTTTAAAGTGTATGGTTCTAAATTTACGAAAACATGACTTAAGTGTATTATTGAATAATTTTACTTAAGATAAAAAAAGTCTTCAGACACTTTTGTAAAATGTACATTACAAAAATTATAATTTTTAAAGGTCAAAAAATTTAACGTTTTTCAACAACTTGTAGGTTTTTGTAGCTAATTTTTAAATATAGAAATATATGATATTAACCCAATTAAATTATTAGTGTATATGGAGGGAATACGCTAATTGTTTATCGCAAAAAGTGCATCAACGGAAGACTTGCGATAATGTTGCATCATAGAAATTTGTGAAAAAAGTTTGTGGATTTTATGTCTTTTCCATTTTCAAAAATATTGAATAAATTAAGAGTCATTGTAAGTTTAAAATTATTAAACTAAAAGTGTATGATTCTTGAAATGTGCTTTTTATGAAAAATTATTTAAGAAACTTGTTTAGTTCATTGATGACACAGTGTGCGATTCGTATGGAACAAAACGCTACTCGTATTCAACTAGCTCGTAATAAAAGAGTTGATGATCGATAGATTTGAAAAAGAATATCCCGAGAGAGATGTGATAGTTAATTTAAACCTTCGGAAAACTTGTTATCCTTGAATAATTTACACTTTATACAGAATACTTCACCGCATATTTGCAAATCATGACCTAAGACGGACGAGCCTAATTATAATCAGGAATTAAATATTGATTAATTTGGTAATCATTGATGCACATTAACTATTCACATATTTGTCAATTAATAAACCCATTCGTGACGCTAAAGAAAAATCGGAAGTTACGATTTTCAATAAAAATTTTAAATTGCTCAATTAATGGAGTATAACGGTCTCTATTAATATATAGGTTATGTTGTGCTATGGTTTCATATTAAGGTAGTATTGGCTATAAATTCAAACTAATAAGAAATGTTTGAAAATCCACACGCAAGTTCTTAAAGTTATGAAAAAATAGCATACTAAATTTCAAAGTCCCTTATTAGCTGTGATTGAAGTTATTGTAATTTGAAATTTGAAATTTAACATATCTGAGGTATCGCATATATGGCACTCAAGTATTTTATTAAAGTACTCATAGTTTCATTACCAGTTCGCGGAATCAAAATTTTGAAAATATCAGACCGACTTCCTGATTAGGTTCAATGAAATTGAACTAGTTTAAGTAAATCATTAAAAAATGTTATTTTTATAAATACTTCTTTTTAGAAAATACAGGTTGTGTTAAGAAAAAATTCTTTTGCGACTTTTTCGTAAAATGCATCATTAAAAAATTATAAATTTTAACTTTTTTCCACTATTTCTGAGATTAATAACTGTTAAATTAGTGTCACGTGGGACGATAACTTTTTCGGATGTTATTATAAACTTACCACACATGACACTATTCAATATTTTTTTAAATTCGAGTAACGTGTATATTCGTTAAGACTTACCCTACAATCTAATGTGCTTCAAAATTAAGTCTACTATCTAAAAATTGATATTTATTCCCCTGCGGAAATGAGCACTTTTTTCTATATATGTAGTGTGCTTGACAGACAGGTAGCAAAAATGTACATAGGGAATTAGTGTTAATTTCCCTCGTCATAGACAATAATTCGGAGAATAAATTTGATTTAAAAATATAGCAAATTATAAGGTGATTCTTGTGACGAATGTGTGCGACATTTTGTTTTAAAATATTTCCAATAGTTTAATTAATAACACAGAGAAAAACATCAAGTTTTCGAAAGAAAAAATTTATAATTTTTGAATTTCTAAAGTATTATAAGAGAGCTTTTCGTTTTAAAGAGTGTATTTTCTAAAGTCAGTCCGTTACAAAAAATACACTTCTTGATTTTTTATTCAAGCAATGGCGACTTAAACAATTCTGACCGGGAATTCGTTATGACAACCTCGAAAGTTCGATTCAGCTACTCTAAAAACATAAATAAATCCTATGAAACTTTGAGCACCTTTAAAAAAATACTTTAGTGTCATTGCACGTGAGTTATTTCTGGAGAATTATGTATTATTTAAATATCATACAGAAATAATAATGGCAGAATATTGCAACTGTGATATCTTTTATTAGAATTAATGTTATGAAGAGATTAGACTAATAAAAAATTTTAATTGTTGACTCAATATAAGCTGCCATTTCAAGCTCATTTATTGTACATTTAAGTTTGCGACAAAAATTATGAAAAATGCCTGCACCTTTTAAAACATCACTTAAATCCATAATTTTACTGTAATTGGACAATAATGCATCGTTATAATTCAATAATTATACTTTTACGATTTAACAAAGAATTTTTGTCATTTCACTAACTTTTAACTCTGATTGTATAGCCTATACTACCTTCAGACCTTTTCCTCTTCAAATAAGTAATTTTCTAAAAAGAAATTTGTCCAACTTAAAAAAAAACCATTTTTTCATAATTTTTTTGTATAACCCTATTGGGCTTTAAACAAATTATTACTAAGTTTCGAAAAATTTAGTTCGAATGAAAATTCGAATCGAACGGCTCAAAATATGCAAAAATGAAATATTTTTAGTCGGGGTATTTTAATTGTATACAGGATCATACCCAGGCCCTGGACTAACAGATCAATCCGCCGCAAACGAAAGCTTGACGTAAAAAATACAACAAATGATCCAATAATTACACAATCTATACAAATGTATATGCATGAAAAGGTAGACACAGATGACATAGGGAAAGTATACATTGCTAGTTTGTTTTTTTACTAAACATCTTTCGTTATATATTTCATATTGAAATTTGACGCTTATAAAAAAGGAGGTAAAATGAAAAAAAAAACATTCGTGAACGCAACAGTTCATAAAAGGGAAAAAAGAAAAAAATTACAATGTAGACATAAAAAAGTAGGACGTAAATAGTGTTCGAATAATGGTTCTTATAACATAATTCATGTTTCGCATCTCACGGAGGAAGGGGCGAACTTTATATCTTTATTTTCTTTATCCGACAAACGACCTAGCGCGTATTTGGTGAAGGCTAGGAGTACGCCGGAATTGTGAAGGCAGTCCAAGACGTTAACTTATATAAAATCCAACTGGAGGAGTGTTCGAGGGAGGCGGTTGTTGATTGGAGGGATGAAAAAAGTCTATTAATCGAAAATTTGTCTGCTGTTATTTGAGACGGTGAGCAAAGAGCATAGTAGAAGTTAATTAGTGAGGGGTGTAGACGTAGTGTGTTGGGCCTTGGCAACTCCGGCGAAAGGTATATCAACGACGTCGCTGTTATTATTGTGTTGTAGGTGGCAGAGATCGGGAGGAGTTCATTCGACGCTGTAGTGTCGGCAACGCTGATGTGCTACCAAACCGCTCAATATGAGAGTAAGGGTGTTGCTGCCGGCGAACGACAACACGACAACACAGGGTTGCGGGCACACAGTCGGCCTCCTCCACCTCTTCTTTTTTTCTTATAATATACGCGGCTCTCTGTTCCTTCATTATGCGTCATCTTCTTCATCATCTACTTCACCCTCTGCCTCACCTTCACCTTCATCCTCCTCCTCATCTGTGATAACAATAATACAAGACATTAGCACATCATTAATTTGGATTTCACTCGTTGATTTTTCAAAACATTCGCTAAAGCTTTAGTTTGCAAGCTGAACTACTGTAATAAAACACGAACCTTCACCTTCATCTAAGTCTTCCTCGCCTTCTGGAAGATCTTCTTCGTCTTCCTCATCTTCTCCGTCGACGTCCTCGACTTCCTCCTCATCACCCTCGACCTCATCCTCAACGTCATCGTCCTCGGCTTCTCCATCACCGTTCTCCTCTTTTTTCTGTTTTTTAGGCTCATCGTTTTTTTCCTGCAATGGAAGAGAAACAATGAATATTTCGTTGCTAAATTACACTAACAAAAAGACAGGAGCAGAAAATCATGAGCTCGCGCACGATTATCAGAAAAGAGGGATAACGCACGAAATTCCGAGCCACAACGAAAAGAGGGGTCGAAAAAGGGATATAAACTTTTGATATTCTCTCTGTTGCCAGAAGCGACTACGTGTCATGGAAGGGTAACGTCAGGGTGCGCGGCACAAGCAAGCCCCTGCCAAAAACAGAAAGCGAGGGCGGCGATAAAAGACTCGGGCCAGGCTGCAGTGAAACGAAGTTTTGAGAGCACTTTGCGTATTACGCTTTGCGACGAGCAGGTGCGCGCGTAAAGCATCAGCTTTACAGAGCGCAGGTCGTCTCGTCCGGGCCTGGCGAAACAGCAATCGTCTTCGAGCGTCGTTTCGGCGTCTCCCCGCAGACAGAAACGGCACGCGCGCGCACCGGCGCTGCTAGCTGCAGCTCGCCGAGGGTATCCCGCAGGAAGTGCGCGCACACCTTGGCCGAGCGCGGGTGAAAGGAGCGCGACCAGAGGGTGATCAAGATGAGCGCGCGCACTCAAGTAAAAGGGGGAGAGAAGTCGCTCATTGCCTCGGTCTTCTCGCTGCGTACGATCCTGATAATGGCGATAATTATGGCCGAGCGAATTATTTATACCTGCCATTAAGCAGGCTATTCCGAAATTGCGATACCTCGACGTTTCACGTGTAAAGTGTCGTTCTATAGGGAAGGCTCGAGGCTACGCATTTTTCAATCAGAACGCGCTTTATTATTTATTCACTATTACCCCCTTTCGTTTAATAATTATTATTTTCCAAATTTCAAAATCCTATTTGAACGAATTGTTTTTATCAGCGGATCACCCGTTTATTTATTCTTTCTTGTGATATATCCAATAACAATTGTACAAAAGACGTGGATGTAACAATGATTGCATAAATTTACTTTCGAGGGAGTTCAGGGCCTGGCAAAATGTTTTTACATCGAAGAAAATTTTTTTCATAATTAGCGCTACCGGTTTACGCAGGCAAGTAAAGCAGCAAAATTTTCCGACAAAAAGTCAAATTAAAACGAATGCAGGCTGAACCGGAAGTTAATATTTCGCCGGGTCAACAATCTCGGATCATTTTGGAGGCAGATAAGAACGAATCGGAGGGCATCAGAGAAAATTGGATCAATTGAAACGCTTACGACTCCAACTGTATACAACCGTACGACTATAACTGTATACACAAACAAAAAACTAGATTTCATGACAACAAGGAAAAGTAATAGAAAGAAAAGGGGGAACGAAGAAGTCACGGGAAAGCGAAGCGGGAGTAGGAGCAAAGTCGCTGCCTATAGAGCAAACGTTTTGGAGTCGAACTCTATTTTTCTCAAGCACACTGCACGACGAAGACAAGTGGGAAGCCGACAGTGGCGTCGCCTTTGCAATCACAATAAAAAAAAAAGAAAAAGAAAAAAGTAAATGTAAATAAAAAAAGAGCAGCGACATGTATGTATATGTGCTCGCACGTTATCACCGCTGCTATTAGATAACCCTTTCTCTTGCGCTGCCAGCCTCTGGGCCGAAGGCACGAGGCACGTGTGCATACTGTTTCTCTCTCGTTGAAGGGAGGTGGGGGACAGAGGCCGCGTCGCCGTATCTAAGTAAGGGAGAGAGAGAGAGAAAAGCCATCCGTCCTTACGGGGCAAAAACACGTAGATATATATACGTGTATTTAATCGAGGGCATCGATCGTAAGAGTACGAGTATCACAGGTCAATTGTCGGGTCGGCGGTGGCAGTGGCGAAAAGTCGTTTCCCGCGCGGGCGGCGCGCGCGCACTCTCTCGCCGGCCACGTTAAAACATGGCCGTTTTCACAAATATCACGTAACCGACGGAGCTGACGCCGATGCTCTCTATCTCTCTCTCTCTCTATCTATCTATCTAGGAAAGCTCGTACGCAGCGTATATCTCTCTCGACTCGTACGACCAAAGTCAAATGCTATTCTAAAATGATAATCCGCGAGAAGATCGAACGCGATGCTCGAAATAATTGCAACACCGTAGGCGCCAAAGCTATCGATTACACGAGGGAAACCATTCGAGAGTGTGCTGGCGTACGCGTGAGTAAAAGTACTCTCCGGCGCGCTGCTCTCGAGTCCACGTGACGCGCACTTACCTCCGGCCGAGAGCGCGCCGAAATTTTCTCTTCCCTCGAGGAAGCACTGAGGGATGCGTGGAAAATAGCGGCGTGGCGAATATGCGAGGGAAAAAATGACTGCCTCTACCCCGGAAGAATCGCGCGCTTTCATGAAGCTTCTCGCCAAAGTGCATGTGTTTAGGTTGCGTTACAGCCGCAATGGCGTGTATACGCGTGAGAGCTCCAGAGAATGGCGTCCGCGTCGGCTTGTTTACGTAAACAGTACAACTGGACGAGCGACGAAACGTCAATATACGAATCCCAGAGACAAAGACGAGCAAATGATGAATGAATCGACGGGAGACATGTTGAACGATACGACGAGGTAGCCGAGGAAAGAAGACGCGAACGCGCGCGGGGCCGGCGAGCCGAGGCGGCCATGATGAACGACGGGCGGCAAGAGCGCCACGGCGCCGCGGCCTCGCGCATCTACGCATGCATGTGAAGATACACAGACTCGTAAAACGCGTAAGTGTGTACTGCTGACTAGTCGACTGTCCGCGCAGGATCGTCGATGGCTAAAAAAAATGAATGTGCACGCTGAGGATGCAAAACTCTCTCGTGGCTCATCTGTTATGCATTGATTGAAGGACACGCGGTGTGCAGAGCGGCGCGTCTATGTGCGGCCGCGCGTCTGACAGCGAGGGAAAATATGGCGGCGTTCGACGGACGCGCGCCTTTTACCTGCGAGACTCCACGTTTGTCCGGCTGTGACGACGTAGCTAATCGATCCTACCTTGCTAGGCATTAATTATTCCAATCAACTAATGCACGCGTTCGGCCAAAATATCCATGAATACGTGCGAAATCTAAGCCACGAGGGACATGCCGTGAAAGAACGCGCTCTCGAAGAGCACATGGCGGCGGCACGACGCGATGATGCATTTTGCTGTTAGTCCGATTTACTCTTACAGTCCGTATGCGGCACGACATTACCCATGGTCTGCAATCGCGCGTAAAATAAATAATTTGATGGCTATCAATCGAAAAGAAGACAATTTGCGTGCAAGAGATGTTGAAATGGAATAAGCATGGCGTCTGGCGAGCGAGGCTCCGTAGCCTTTGAGTTTCGCGCTCGCTCTCTCTCTCTCGCTCGTACATTCCGTCTCGCTCTGGCTCGTGGGCGCCCCTATATATTGCTTTGCTATACGTGCGCGCCATGTTATCTCGGTTAGAGCGCGAGCTCTCGATGTAGCTCGCCAAATAGTCGGCCACGAGTTCGACATTCCATAAAAACTACGTCTCGTCGCGACCAATTGCCTCGAGAAATCAAAATTCAATGAAAAAGAACAGCGTTAGTCGATAGCATGCAAAAAGTGGAAGGGTAGACGTAGGTACGGCGGAGAGCAAGAAAATGGAGTCGGTACTAGCGCGCGCGGAGCCAGCCGCCGGCCGGCGATATGTATCGTGCATGCAACGTAACATATATATACATATATTTTGTTTTTTTTAAAAAGTGGTACTTACTTCTGCCGCCCTCTTGATGCCTTTGATCTCGCACTTGGCGTCGTCTTTGGGTAAGTCATTTACCTTCTCCACAGCGACCTCACCACTGTTTTCCTTGGTACTCATTATTCCGTATGTGTACCTATGTGTTATAGATTAAATTAATATTAGCAATAAGGCTGCTAATACGCGCGACGAGAGAGCACGTCTACTCGGTAGTCTTGTGGTAAGAGAGATAAAAACTAGCGAGAGCTGTCTCGTGCTTTCGTACGACTGAAAGATCGAGCGACTCGACTTAGTGTCTCTCTGACCGACAACTAACTGGCTATGCTGCCTGCTCCGCCGCTACTCTCATCCTCGCCTCTCTCTCCTACTCTGCCTACACACATTCACACAGCTGCGCGAGCGCCTCGTCTACGTGTCCGTGTGCCACCACTACCAACGAAATAGCTTCAAGTCCGCGCTCGGCGTCGGTTTCCGGCCGACCGTCGCTCATCCAACCTCTGCCCGTGCGTGCGACAGAGATGGAAACTAGAAAAAGAAGGGGCGGTCGAGGAGAGAAGCGGCACGTTTGGGGGGTGCGAATGTGCATACCGTGGGGTTGCCGAGGGGCGCTAGGGGCAGGGTACGAAAGAGGGAAATGTCGGGGGACCGGAGCGGGTGTTGTGCCGCTTCTCCACCTCTCCCTTTTTTTTCTCTCCCCGCACGCGCGCGCGCAAGCCGCGTCGCCCGCCGCTTCTCGTTTGCTCTCTCACACAACGTTTCCACGGGATTCCCTAAGCTTCGGGTTTGATATTAATGAATATTTCTTTGCCTTTTTGACGATACTTTATAAAAATATGCGATTAACAAGTGACATTTTCTGTATTTAATATGCTTTCGTTAAAAATTAACAATGTTCCCTGTTTTTTACGTTTCAATTTTATATATGCACATATATTACTTCATTTTTATTTAAGAATATAATAATATTTGATCGATAGCAAACGTAATTGAATTAATTTAGAGTTTTTGTTGTCCATTTCCACTAATTTTTCATGTTAATTCAACGTTTAAAGATGCCGGGTGTGCTTGACCTCATTATACAGTGCAATTCAAAAGTAAATGAAAAATTCGAGAAGATAGAAAATAAGATAATTTCTCATTGATATAATTGTAAAAACAAATACGATCATCAGATATTAAACGCTAGCAGAGCAGATTAATTCAATTCCACATTCGGTCGGTAAAATATAAAATATACGCGTGGATAAGTGGAGAAGTGGCATTGACGTAGACAAGGAACGCGTACGAAAGAATTCTCGATTTGCACGGGAGCGACAAAGATGGGAAAAAGCGAGAAATAGAGAGTGAAGCGGCGGATTGGTCAGAAGCGGAGTGTGTCGATGACGTGGAGATGCCGATGTGGTAGTGTGGAGAGCTTCGGCTCTTTGCTTATATTCGTGTTTGTCCGTGTGCTACTGAGCCTCGAGCACGAAGTCCAGATGTGCTGTACATGAGTAAAAGGAACCGACGTTGCCAGCTGTCGACGGGGCTGACACGTAGTATATACACGGAGATTCGTTCGTTTAGCGGGCGATTTGAATTTTCACTATTTTTTTGCAATATTGATCGTTTATAAATCAGTTTTTCCGCGTAAACTATATTAACCATTGAAAAAACTACAAATCAGTCAAAATTTGGCCGGCTTAACCATTAATACTCCATCAAATAGGTATTTTATGCATGGAAACTTCTAGAAGTCCGCCATCTTGGCGTCGTTCGTTCTGACGGTTGAATCATTGTTCCAATAATATCATGATGCTTACCGCACATGAATTTTCAATGTTTATACGTATGATCGCCCAGAACACGTAATTTTGACATGATTTTTTAAAAAGCTCGGAAAAAATGCTTGAAATCTAATTCGATCTCAATAACGATATATATTATGGCGCTATTGCACAAGACTACGAAATCCAGAATGACATCTAAAGCGATATGCTCGTCATGAATACGAACTTGGAAGATACATAAAAGGCCAACAATGTTAGCGATATTTGTCAATAAAAACATTATGACTTGACAAGTTCGCGCCTATAAATAGTTTCGTTAAAAATAAAATGCAGTATCGCGAGAACAAAGACGCAAAAGTTCAGCGAGAACCGTGTAAACAAGCTCCACACGACATTTGGAAAATTACCCCACTCAATAGGAGAGTAAGTTGAGTAACAATTGAAATGATTATTTAGCACAAAGGTACGTAAGCATTATATGCGATTCCGGCGTACAGCTAGTATTAAGGGGGAGAGAGCGGAGGGTACGCGATGGGGGCAAACAGAAAAATCCATGAAAAAGGATCCGGCAACGTTGCTGCCAGTGGTCTCATCCTCTCTAGCGCGCATACCTTCTATGTGTACTGTGTTGCTGTTGCTTGCTGCGCGTTTCAAACGCCGCTCTCTCTTTCTCGCTCTAGCTAGTAGATGCTTTGTTCAAAAATGAAGATGGCGCGGCTTTGAAAGCCGATAAAGCGTCGCAATGCGTATTCCGCTGGCATTTTACTCGGCTCATTGCATCCCTCGTCAATATTATCGTGCCATCTTTGCAATTCTCGCGATACCGCATCATCATGTCGCTTTGAAACTCGATCATCATAATTTGCAATGAGAAAAATACGCGCCACCAAAAGAGCCGACCCCGCCGCCGCGGCATAGTACATGCGCGGTCGCGTGCGGAGAGAGAGAAAGAGAGAGAGAAGCCAAGCAACGAGTCGAGCATGTCATTGTAGACCTTGTGCGTTGAGAAAAAAAAGCGCAATATATTCGACAACGGAGTTTTTATTGGGAGTTGTCAATCTATTTAGACTAAAAACAATCGCTGCAAAATATAATGCACTGAAACAGCGCAGAGTAAGCTAAAGAAGCTAAGCTTGCGTGCTAGTCGCGCGTCTCCCTTCTTACTTCCTCAACAGCACCTCATGTAGCTATCTCTAACGAGCGCAGTCGGCGTCTTTTCGATAATCGGCTTGTCTGTCTCGCTCTCTCCCCGTCGACGCAAAGCGTGCGTGTTGCTTTCCGACTTGTTGAGTGGTTGCGCACGCGACGCCGGAAAAATAGATCTCCTCCTCCTCACACCCATTCTTTTCGTAGACATCACTTCCTCCCGGTGCCACTCTCTCACTCTTTCTCTCTCTCTCTCTCTCTCTCTCTCTCTCTGTGAACACGTTGCAGCTCTTTCCCGCGCGAAACGCGACGCAGCACAGTGCCGAAAAATGGAAAAAGCCCGGGCGGGGAGAGGGAGAGCTGAGGATAAGGCAAGTGCATGTAAAGTGCGGGCCGTAGCTGTGCCATTGGTTGATCAACGCTGAAATTTCAATCCTCGCCTCTGTGATCATACAGCGGCGCACATTGTTGCACTGAGGATGAAAGAAAAATGTGTAATTTGTGTATGCACGAGCAAGGCTCACGATAGGGTAAAAAAATCTAGATAAACGAGGGAGAGATTTTCATCTCGCAGAAAAAAAACAAGTGTCGGAAATAGGCTGCTTTCGGGCCGTTGACATTGGTTATGCAGATTTTTCCTTGACGCGCGCGGCTACACTACTGCACACGCGTTATATATGATGATATTATGTTGTGGGTACACGCACAACGATATCGGCTACACGAGTTATCTGGCCATTCATTCATTTAGTTAATAATGATCTATAGGAATATGTAGCCGATAATTTTCTTATTGATTTTTCTAGTTGAAACTTCCTTGTCGAATTCTTGAAAGAGTTTTATATGTTACTTGGCACGGTACAAATCAATGGACGTAAAGTATATAATTCACATTTACCTTGCGATGGCTTAATTGAGGTAATTTTCGTTTAAATTATGAAGCATTATATTGTTGTCATCGTTAAAATATGGTTATTAAATAATCTTATTGCAATATTTACAAACAGTAAAAGTAAAATAAATTAAATGTAATATTCACATTTTTTATTTATTTTTTTTTCAATCGATGATTGTTATATCATTAAAAGGTTTCATTACTTATTGCAACAAATGAAATGACTATGTCGAAGTGAGCGTTGAAAGTTCAGCGAAAATTCGGACGCGGAAAATTTCGAACCATATGGCAGGCAGACGGTGGATTGCCGAGTTTTCATGAAGGTCAACGGGGGTAGGTAATCTTCCTTTTATTGCAGGAACATCTAGCGAAATTTAATTTTCTTATTGTCCCAGAGACAAACTCTAAGCCAAAACTTTTCGAGTAGAAAGGTGAGAATAAATCTAGATAAAAGCGGAAAACATTTACTTGAAATATAGCCAATATATATTTTCTTTGAGAAAGCAACGATATTCAAGGCAAAACAATGTTTTATCTTCAAAGGCGCGGCTAATGCTATTCCTTGCTAGAGGAAATTCAATAAAGTGATTTAGCTTCACTTTCAGCAAGCAAATAATTTTGAAAAATAAAAATTGAAAATTTTAATGATTTCAAATACAAATTACAAATGAATTTGTATAAAATAAGAAACGTGGACATTTTCTTTCTGTTATTGGATCTCGTCCTTCACTGCAGTGACCGGAATAAAAAAGCGCGGAATGTAAGAAACAGTTAAAAATGTAGTCTTGAAATTCTTATATACGAATACATAGGAATCATTTCATCTTGTGTCTTATAAAATTTCATGCAATGACAAGTATAAAGTTAAAACGAGAGAGACATCAGCACATTCGCATAATTGAGAGTATTCGTGCATCAAGACTCGACAAGCGGCAGCGTGAATCACTTATTTTGCTGGAAATACTAGGCACTCTCGAAATTGTATTCGAGCGACACCGACGTAGCTCCTCAGATTCTCTGTCTCGCTTGCACAGCACTTTTACGTAAGTCCATCTGTCTCTTTCTCTCACTCTCTCTGTCCTGCATTCTCTCTCTTCATCTCCCACGCTCACCATCTCTCTCCCACGACCGCGCTCGCCTTGCTTTATTGCACTTATAAATACGATCCGGGCTTTCGTAGACTGCACCTTGAAATCGAAAAGAAAAAAAATAGGTGTCGGATAAAATGATATATTCCGTTCGACAATGACTTGCAGCGGAAAAATATTTTTACAGTGCAAATGGTATGATATCGATTGAATTGCAAAGTTGATTTTAGTTGTCACTGTGTAAAAATCTATTCTCCTGGCTCTCTCTCTCTCTTTCTCTCTCTCTCTCTCTCTCTCTCTCTCCCTCTCTCTCTCTCTCTCTTTCTTTCTCTCTCATCAAATCAATCATGCTTACGTTACGCGCATTACCATTCACTCGATTACTGAGAGTAGCGTATAAGTGCACATGCACTTTGCTGCTTGCTTATTCTAAATTATTTACGCGAATTTTCCAGGAATAATTTCACATGAACCCATTTTTTAGCGCGATAGATGATTGCGAAAAGACAGAACCATCGAACTGAAAGAGGAGCAGTGAAACGCAAACGATGACAAATTCAAAAAAAGTTTTTTTTCCTAAAAAGCTAAAAACTATACCGCGACAGTAGCGCATCCGTCTGAGCTAGATGTCGCAACGATCAACTTCCCTTTTCGCGACCGACTGTGTACTGGCATACCTCGCCTCCTTTCTTTCCGTACATTCAAGATGGTAGGTGAATGTATCTATAAAAATAATTTTTTCATCCATTACAATCAACATCATCTCGTTATTATTTAGTGCAAGATTAATAATTATTGTTTTAATACACTATTTGACTATTTTTGTAGTCATCGTTTTGTATTTTTTGTCAACTTTGTATGTTGATGACACGGGGATATCTAACCTAAAAGTCGCTTAATAGGTGATAAATAATGGTTTTTGCATAGAGCATATATTATTGTTGATTTTGAAACGTGAATATTCAAATTATTTCATTATGGTGTTTCACTATTTTACGTTTTCTGATACATTTTTTCAAAAAGTTTAATTGTCAGCAAAATTTTATAAAAGTTAATGACGATTAATAATCTATTGTATTACAGGTGAATGTACCTAAGCAGAGGCGCACTTTTTGCAAAAAGTGCAAAGTACATAAGCCACATAAGGTGGCACAGTATAAAAAGAGCAAAGAAAGGCATGCGTCTCAGGGTAGGCGACGTTATGACCGCAAACAACAAGGTTTCGGTGGCCAAACCAAGCCTATCTTTAGAAAGAAGGTAAGAAATTTATAAATACAGTTCACATTAAAAACAATTAATATAAGATAATCTAGAAAACTATTGAAAAAACCAAGTAAATCATTTTTCTGAGTATCAACATAAAATTGATTTGTAGTAGATTAATATATAATTAATATATAATTAATATAATTAACAATTATAACTTAATTTTAATCAGTAGAAACAGTTTTTTAAAATATAACTGTTTAGAAATTGATTCATTTAATATGCTTTCTTTACGTTTTATATCAGTGTTACAGTTTAGTTCTTAATGTTTGAATATTAAACATATAGCTAATATTATATGGAATGATTTCCATATTTCCATTATTTAGTCTTGAAAATCTTGGTAGATATGAATTCAGTCGAGTATAATTGATGAAATATATTTGGATGTTTTGTATAATAGGCTAAGACCACCAAGAAAATTGTATTGAGAATGGAGTGCACTGAGTGTAAATACAGGAAACAGATTCCCCTCAAACGTTGCAAGCATTTTGAACTTGGTGGTGACAAGAAGAGGAAGGTATGTAGAGTTTTTTCTAAGAAGATTGTTTTATTCAACTGCATTTACTAAAACTCATACTGTTTTTTTGTTTATTTTTTCAGGGTCAGATGATCCAGTTCTAAAAAGATAACTTTAAGGAACCATATTTAATAATAATAAATAAAAAATCTTTACTGGTTTGTAAATTTGTTCTTTTTATTTCAAATATATGTACAAAATTAAAATGCATATACAAAACTTTTTATTTATTTTTTTTTCAACTATCTACATTTATATCTGAATTCTTATCTTTTGGTTTTGGAACTAGTAAATGAGGATTGCTAGAAATAAAAACCAAATAAACATATTTTTTTAAATGAACTCTGAAATTATAAATATAGTATTTGTAAAATAATAAATAAAAATCTCACTCTAAAATAGATGGGTCCAATTTTTCTTGTTCCATTTTTAATTTAACAGCTGGTTTTGGTACACCAACACTAACCATCTTAAAGTATTTTGCATATTGTGGATCCAAACTTATTGGCTGCATATTAGATTCTTCAACTTTAGGCTCAATAGGAACTTCATCTTTAGTTTCAATATTTTCATATAAAGTTACTTCTGAGTGTTTAGTTATTTGTTCTTCACTTTTTTTCTCTTTAACTATGTTGCTGATCAGTTCATTATCAGCAATTGGAATCGTTGATAACTAAACATAAAGCAATGAGATTTTCAATTGGCCGTATATAAATTATTTTTTATAAAAATAAATACCCTTGCTTCTAAGAGTTCTAATGATGCTTCAACCCTTTGTATTTTGTCTTCAAAGTCAAAAAGTTTCTCTTCACAAGACAGTGAAAATTTATTCAAAAATGTTATTGTGTGAGCTATAAAGTGGTTTATAAAAGCTATTGTTCGTTTTTGATTTACAGAAGGAATCTGAAATGCAATGAGTTTGTAAATTGTAGTTGATATTTCATTTTGTATGTATAAGGTTAGTCATGCAACAGAATAAAAAGTTGTCAAACCTTTGTATAGTCAACAGTGGGTTCTATTATTGGAATATTCAAATCACTCATGATAAACGATTTTGGTTTTCCAATATTTTCTTGGTAAATGTAAATTGTGACAAGCAGCACGTCATTGCAGACCGCCGTTACAGTGGTTCATATTAACACCGTTGCAACGCAATGGACGAATGGTACTGAAACTAGTGAATATGTGGCGCCTTTATATAAAATATGTATGGATGCTTAAAGCCGTTATGTGAAAAGTAGCGTCTGCTACCAAATAATGTTTTTTTTCATATAACATCAAATAGAGGAGAAGGAGTACCTATTATTGCAATCGACCCATGCAGTCGGATATTTATCTTGTATATTTAGTACTCAGTAACATTTTTATTTGTTATCAAAGTCATGCAGTATCTGCACAACGAATTTAGGTATGTATGTACAATGTCTCATTATACTTTAACCTTCAAATTGTCTCACAAGCTCATGTTTAGCTTTCAAGGCTCAAATGTAACGTGAAAAGGGAGACACAATTCTTTTTAACTTTAGTCTTCCATCATTTCATATTTTATTTGTGTTTCACTGTTAGTATATAGACATATAAATTTAAGTAACAACAAATGTATATATTACAGCTGAAATTCTGTCTGCTGTATTTCTATAATGGAATCTGATTTTTATACAGATATTAAATGTTTATCAACGATTGAAAACTTAAATCATTTTCCTTTCGCAAAGTACATTTTCTTTAACTACTTAATACATCATGATATCCATTTCAATCCCAATGATAATAAAATATTTTAAAGAAACATTTAAGCAACTGGAGTATAAAGTTTATTTTAACGAAAATAATGTTGGTGAAGAATAAGTACTTTAATTATTAATAATTTCACTAATCTAAACAACAACAAAATCTACATGTTTAGTAAAAGATTTTGTCATTTTAATTAAATTATGAACTTTACTATGTTTTCAGACAATTGCTTATTGCAATAAATCAAGATCTAATTGAAGCGATATGCATCTTAAATAATATTGCTTCTTTTACTTTTTTTTGTTATGATTGTGGATGATGTAAATGTCAGAGAGTCTGTTATATTACAGTGTTAAAAAGTCAATTATAAAGCAATCCATATTAGCTAAATCAGATCCTGTTGTGAGAGGTTCAATGAATGGCATAAAAGCTCTGTTTGATTTAATTAGAAAAGTTAAATAATCAACATTAAAATCAGAAAGATTGTTACCCGCATTTGACACAAAATTTTCGATGGTCAATCTTATTGTCACCTCAATAGACAAGTATTTGCACTGCATTTTTACTGAAATTTTAACATTACATTATTATGTAATTTTCAACTTTGATGTCACATTTTTTTCCTACTGCAAAATAGTAACAATAAATAACATTTAATATCATTATTATTTGTCAGAACTAAACTCTAGCAATTTTATTTTCTGAAATAGATATTGGTCAAAAGGATTTTTTTTGAAGGCAATAATTTATTAGGCTTACAAATAAATTTAAATAAATTTAGACACAACAAATAGGGTTTGAAATTTTCAGCCAAAACGTGAATCTATATAGTAGCCATAAAATGCAATAGGCTTGTTTTCTAATAATTTCTAGTAATGTTGATTTGGAAACCTATAGGGATATTGCAAATGTAGTTTTGATTACTGATGTAGAGGACCAATATCATGATTGCTCTTCAATCTCGATAAACTGAAATTGAATAAAATCAGAAGCTTCAAGGTGTAACGAAACATCCTACGAATACTCTAACTAAATCCAATGATAAAGAATACAAGAGTACAAGCACTACTGGTATTTTTGACAAGATTGGAATAAGTTAATAGCCAGCAATTTATCTCAATTAATTTGTATTAAAACAATTACTGTACATTAAATTGAAAATTGAAATTATTTTGAAAGCTACTAGTTTTATTTTTTTAATGATTAAATTATAAGAATTTCCAATCTTATTGATAATGATAACTTGCAATTACTCCAATTAATCAAATGTGTAATGTCAAAATATTAGCACAGTTTAATTGATTCACTAGGCTAGTATCAATCTTTTGTATTTTTTGAAAATTTCTCATTTACAAGAGTATAAGAGATTATTGAAACTGTTTTCAACAATATTGATTTTTCAAATAGTCATCATCATCATTATACTATTTAAATACAATGGACCATTTTTCCCTTATTTTTATTAAATAAGTTTTTATTATAAAACTAACCCGTATAGAGAAATTAGATGACAGCTTATTATATCAAATTAAGACTTTTGAAAAAAATATCAAAACTTTAGATATTATAGTTAATATATTAATTTAGAACTTATTATATAGTAAAATAGAGATACACACAATATTTTTGCTATGGATGTCTTGTACAATTGTACAAGATTAGTCTTGATAGACATTATTGAAGGATATAAAAACAGTTTAAACCTGTAATTTTCATGACAACATATTTATGATAGATTTCTGAAAATTATACATTTTTTATTTCTTTTCGCAAATGTTCTAATATATTACAAAGAAAGTGAGTAGGTTGGACTAAATCAAATTGTATCCAACTGAAGTACAAAAAACGTTTATTTATCTCTATACAAAAAATGGTTGAATTTATATTACATTTTCAAGTCTCAGATCAAGATGTTTTAGTCGTATCTTAATTTGACTAAAATAGTTAGAAGACTCATTTCGTTTCTGTATTGCTTTCTGAAGTGGTAACCTCAACAGGGCGTCCAGAACATTCAGCGTCTTTTGTGCCCTCTTGGTCATCCAACAAATCTTGAACCCACTTCTCAATACCTCCCTTACCCCAGCCTGCAAAGTGTAATGGACAGTAAAAATAAAAAATACCATTCAAAATATCTCTAATTGAACCCTCCAAAAATGCTCATTATTTTAATTGAACCCCTTCAGTTGTCCCAAAAAAAATTAAAAACTATGATAATTTTTTCGTTTTTTGCAACTGCGATATCTTTAGTAATACTTAATATTTTTGCAAAAGAAACAAGGCAAAAAATTGAACCTTTGCTCGTTTTAATTGCACCCCTCTCACTTTTTCAAAATTATTAATATATATGTCAAAAACAACAATCTAACTTTATTGTATGTTCTTTTCAAATAGATTATTGGGTTATTGGGTTATTTGGAAAGAACATACAATAAAGTTAGATTGTTGTTTTTGACATATATATTAATAATTTTGAAAAAGTGGGAGGGGTGCAATTAAAACAGGCAAAGGTTCAATTTTTTGCCTTGTTTCTTTTGCAAAAATATTAAGTATTACTAAAGATATCGCAGTTGCAAAAAACGAAAAAATCATCATAGTTTTTAATTTTTTTTGGGACAACTGAAGGGGTTCAATTAAAATATTGAGCATTTTTGGAGGGTTCAATTAGAGATGTTTCGAATGGTATTTTTTTTTTCACTGTCCATTACACTTTGCAGGCTAGGGTAACCGCAGTCTTCTCAATCATTATAATCGAAGGTGCACAATCACCAAAACGGTTATCAAGCCTCATTTTCATCTCCAGAATCGTTTTGCCTTCGAAAAAGAAATTTCTAACCAATAGAAGAAATTCTGTTTGGACATTTTTTTACAACCACTCGATTTCTTTGATTGAAACGAATGTAAAACGCAAAGTAATTGTCCGATCTGGCTGAAACTTGGTGTGTGCTCTTCCAAGATATGCCACTAACTGAAAATAACCTTGATACGCACTAGTAGCGCCATCTCTCTGACTTTGCACGGACTTTTCAAACGACCCTCGTAAAATGCAATTGACAATAGAAATTTTCTTATAACCTGACAATCATATCTCAACAATTTATGAGTAGATGAATTCAATCTACTTTGTGGATATAAATGATAGTTTTCGATACTCCGTGCGCAAAGTACGTCTTTCCCGTACGCTCGGTAGAAAACGTGCGCTGAAAATTACGATACAAGTGCGGGAATAGTATATTACGATACTAGTGCGGGAAAGTAGATTCTTGTCTCGTGTGGCTTTTATGCCCGAGCGAAGCGAGGGTGGAAGGGTACACGAGACGAGAAACTCTTTCCCGAACATGTGCCGTACCGTATTTTTTGATACGACGTGTGGAAAGTGCAATTTTCAACGCACGTTTTCTGCCGAGCGTGCGTAAAAGACGCACTTTGCGCACGGAGTATCGAAAAGAGATTCTTGTCCAGCGTGACATTCCACCCTCATTTCGTTCAACTATAAGATATCTCCAGTTATATTGATCACACACTAAGGTCTACAACGTCTTGTTTTCAAGAAGTTATACAATATCATGTAGAATATATTGGTTGGTTATCCGAAGAAAAAATGAATGTAGACATAGGAAGATCGACAAGCGATGAATTAACTCCAAAAATGTAATTACACTTGTCAGTGAATTATTTAGGTAAACTTGATACTGAAAATTCCAAAAAAAAATTACTTAATATCATTCTTCGGATACAAAGCTGCACGGACCGGAAATGAACCATCTGTAGTTATCGAAATGTAACTATTTTTCAAAAATTTTACCACCATATCACCGGTGCTAGCTGCATCTGTATGTGTTTCAACTAGATGTCGCCACAATCATCGTTTCATCATTGCTTTCGCTCTGCCTGCTGCCACCCATGTTCGATCTTTTTCAGTCTTTTTCTTCTATATAAATACGTTAAAGATGGTATGTGAACGAACTTGTAAAAATAATTTTTTAGTCCAATGCCATCAACATCGTTACTATGATATCCAACACAAAATTAACAATTAACGATTTAAAACATTTTTTGGCTAATTTTCGTTTGGAACGTTTTGCATTTTTTGTCAACTTTACATGTTGATGACATTGGAGATATCTAATCTAAGAGTTCTTTAATAAGTGATAAACAACAATAGTTTTTAAATAGCGTAACTGTTATCGTCGATTTCAAAATGTGAATATTCATATCATTTCATTGTGATATCTCACTGTTTTACGTTTCTTTGTATTTTTTTTCAAGAAGTATAGATGTTGTAATAGAATTTTTTAAAAGTTAATGACTGAATAATCTTCTTTGTATTACAGGTAAATGTCCCTAAACAGAGACGTACTTTTTGCAAAAAATGCAAAGTACATAAGCCACACAAGGTGGCACAGTACAAAAAGAGCAAGGAAAGGCATGCCTCTCAGGGTAGGCGGCGGTACGACCGCAAACAACAAGGTTTCGGTGGCCAAACCAAGCCTATCTTCAGAAAGAAGGTAAGAAATTTTTTAAATACAATTTGCAATAAGGATAACACTCATACGATAGCCATTTAAAAATTTATCTTGGATAACTGTTCATAATGTGTGAATGCTTACATAAATGTAATTAATAAAGTGGTGTTTTTATATATTTTTTTATTTTTATTTTTGAAAACATTTTTTAAAACATTATATATACCATACTTTTGAGCATTAGTATGAAACACACATGTGGAATTTCAAAACATATGTAATTTGCCTTAATTAATTGAAAAAATGGTAATACAAACGTAAAAATATACTAAATTTGAAGTATTCTAATCTAATTGAATTAATTGTTAATTTAGATTACTTTAGTTACTTTAATTACTTTTAAAGTTCATTTGATGATTTAGCTCTTAATGTTTGGCTGCTAGTGTATGCAATAATTTTTTTACCCATTCTTAATATTTTTGGTAGATATTAATTTAATTGAATATAATTAATGAAATATATTTGATTGATGCTATGTATTATAGGCTAAGACCACTAAGAAAATTGTATTAAGGATGGAGTGCACTGAATGCAAGTACAGGAAACAGATTCCTCTTAAGCGTTGTAAACATTTCGAACTTGGTGGTGATAAAAAGAGGAAGGTATATAGAATTTCTTTATAAAATAGAATTTATCTTATTCAATAACATTCATTAAAATTATACCTAACTTTCTTTTTTTGTCAGGGCCAGATGATCCAGTTCTAAAAAGTTGATTTATATGTAACTTTGTGGAACTATATTTAATAATAAAAAATAAATCTTTATCTTTATTAGTTTCTAAGCTTGTTATTTTTGTATGAAACATGTACAAATTAAAAATACATATATAATATTTTTTATATTTTAGTTTTTATATTTTAATATTCAACTATCTAGATTTGTCTGAATTGTTGGAAAAATTGTAGCTTAGATGATCAAGTTCACCTAAATCACGCGCTGTTGTAAAAAAAAAAGCTTTACAATTTTACATTGAAATTGCATTTGTATGATGTAAAATTTTACATAAATGTAAACAGCTAAGCTTTTGTTCGCTTTTTTGATTCGACGTGGTACTATAATGTTTTTTACATGTTAAATTACAGATATCAAACCAATTTAAGGGTAGTATTTCGTAAGCAAAATAGTATTGTATATTAAGAAATATAAAATGGTTAATTTTTTAAAGTATTTTTGTATAATATATATTTATAATATTTAAAAATAACATTGTATGAAATATGTTTTCACGTGTTTACAGAATACGATTACCTTGGATGTTCTGATTTTTGTTTAGCAATATCTTTTTCTGCTTCTTTTCTTCTTCTTTGAAGGCCAAAAGATTTATCTTGCGCTCCTTTCTTCTTTCCTATTTTAAAACATTAATATTAATAACGTCAAAATATATTTTAAAGTATTCGAAATATAATGACTGCAAAGATTACTTTTCGTTCATCCTTGACGAGTTGTTTTCTTTGCCTTCTTTCTTCAGGACTCTCATTTTTCGGCCTACTATACACTGACTTGTTCAAAGTACACGTTCGTTGAGAGTTCATTGATTTTTGAATAGTAGATCGCAGCTCTGGTGGTAAGTTTACGGCTCTTATATTTCTCAAGCACTGCTCAGAATTTGTTGGAATACCAGTTTTCGTATTTATTTTAATTGTTTGATGATCCTGTGAATAATATTGCTCATATTAATAAATTATTTGTTTATTTAAAGTAAACTGAATAATTGTTCATGTTCAATGATTACATTGAACAAACATAATGATTAGTTGTGCCTTTTGTACACCTCAAACAACAGTATACTAAAAGGGTTTTAATGAATTGAAACTGTCATTGTTTTTTGAGAACCATAAATTACTTTTATAACAAATGTTACATGACAAGTAAAAACTATTTGTTTTTTAATTGTTCATATGCTAGTTCATATTTAATTTAATTAGTTTACATACAACATAAATGCAATACATTATCAGTTACTTAACTTAATGCAATATTAGAAATTGCAAAAAATATGTAGTCATTTTGAATCATACACTACATCCATTATATTAACAAAACAGAATTTTTCAAACATTTATTAACCACCTACATACCTTTCGTTCTGAAATGGTTTGAGGAAGATTATTTTTGTTATTATAAAGTCCTAGAATACTTTCACAATCCCATTTATTTTTGTCGCAATGTATAGTAACTGCATTTATGGGTTCATTATCACTATCAACATCTGAACTGTTCTGTAGCTCTGTTTGCAAATTCATTTTATCCTTCATCAATTCTGCTACATTTACAACCTTAAAGAAATATTAATTAAAGTTTGAAATAAATTTGCTTCAGAAAAAAATATTAAAAATATAGATTGTATTAAAATAATTTAATTTAATACCTCATTTTCTTCATTGTATTGATTACTAATTTGTAGTAATCTTTCAGAATCTATTTCTATATTACCTTCTATTTCTTCACAGTCTAAAGATCCTACTATATGTTCATCATAATCTGCATAGAGCTACAAATTAAATACATTACAGTAAATCATTAGCATAACATAAGTTAAATATAAAAAACAAAAAGCACACTATGTGTTAATAAATTTCAAGTTCTTTAAGATATAAGCTTACGGATTGTTATTGTTATTATTACTTAAAGAACTATGTTCATACGGAACTCTGCAAAGATACACTAGGTATCTATATGTATTAGCTTTGGTTCCTTATAGTCATTAGCATGTAGATTTACCTCATGTACCACTTCTGGAATTGTGAGAGAGAAATTTTTACATGCATCATAACTGAACCTACAGTTCAAGGTGGAATTTGAACCAATTTAATTACTCTAATTTATTGTTGTTAAAGTCTCAAATTAAAGATCTCTTATATACTTGTATGTGTGAAAAGTAATGTTCACATTTTAGGTAAAGGTATATTAATTAATTAAGAAATATCAATAAAAACTCACTTTTTCAAATTTATCATCTAGTATGGTCAACTGATCATTTCTTTTCATAACACTGCTCGAAATAGAATATTCTGTAAATCTTGATTTTGTTTCTTCGTTTGCAAATGGACAATCTAGTGACTCAAATTGAACATTATCACCATCTGTATGAGAAATATATTTGAATTAATATAACACCTTGTTGAAACATACCATGATCTAAAATTCAATATTTAATGGTATTGTTTCATACTTACAATAAGTTTCTCCATCAAAATCTTCATCAAAATTATCATCGAATTCTTCATTATATTCTTCATCACATTCATCGAATGGTAATTGTTGATTTGCCAATTCCATAAAGTTATCTTCAAGCTGATTATTAGGATCATCAAAATCAAAATCATCATCCAAAGCAGCCACAACATCTGAATCTAAGTTTAAGTTTAGACCAGTACTTGCTATAGCTTTATTTAAAAGACCTACTTTTTCTTCAACATTGGATTGAAAAACAGAAGAAGGTAAAGTGATTTTTGTATCTGTTAGTTCTGATGTTATATCTGAGGAATGAGCTTCTTCTTCATTATCCAAACGACGAACGTCTGTTAGATTTTTCAAATACTCATAATCATGATCGAAGCAAACTCTATACTTATGTATTGCTTCTTTTTGTATTTCTGTACTTGATGTCTGCTTCTTATTCTGTTTAGTAAGTGGTACAAGCACTCGCTGTGGTGCTGATTCATCAGCCACAAGTGGATCATGCTGTGATCTGTGAACCAGACTAAAAGTGACTGCATTTTTCTTATTAAATTTTTTTGACTATAAGAAATAGTAAAATATTAATAGTACAGAAAAAATGAATATAAACATTTTTTATACTTGTATGTTTATATCAAATTACCATTTTGTTTACTTATAACAAATCAACAAGATTATAAAATAGTAAACTGTTGTACTAGTATTTCAATATTGAAACACATAAAAAGGTTATAAATACAAAATTATTTTGCAGATTTGTTTCAAAACACGTATTGAACATTGAACCATGCCATCGCCATGTGCACTGAGCTGATTCTGTTCTGTTCTGTTCTGTTGGTATTTGTTGGCTTTGGTGTCACTCACAGTAGCGAGCATGGAGACGGTAGCGAGTCTGTGTCCCATACGGCCATCAACTGACTTGATTGCACTGAGCTGAGTCTGAACTCCAGTTATTATTCCGTAGCGTGTCAGAGCTGTCAGGGGGCCTATTCTGAAAAAAAATTTTGTGGTAAATCAGCAGTTTGTCACTTCAGTTTACCACAGAATTAATCACTTTAGATGTGATATTGTGCTAAAATTTTTTTTCAGAATAGGCCCCCAGAGCAATCAAATAAAGATTAAAGAGGGTAACCGTGTGACGGTCAATATTTGCTATCGGCTGCGAGTGATGTCTGCGCTGCGACAAAATACCCTAGAATCCAGATTTTTGTCCTGACTGATATATCTGACATCTCATTTACATTATGAAAAATTAGGATTTCCATTTTACGCATAGAACGGAATCCTATTTATCGACAGTACTATTATATATATTATCAAATCTGTGATTATAATTATTATACTATATAGATAATATGATCGCATAGTGATTTGTGATGGACATAGACCCTGGCAATATCATAGCTTTTAATTTTTACTATAAAACCAATTACCGCCAAAATAGTATGGATTTATTACCTCTTATAAAAGCAGTCGATGAAACAGTATTTTTCTTACATCATAATCTAAAACTTTCAAAAAAAGAAAGTTTTGCAGTATCTGAAGGAACTAGAATTACGGTGAATCTTTTTGAATTGTTGTAGTTACTTATTATTCTAATAATAAGTAATATTATTTTTTAAATGTTAGACATTTCTTTGCTGCAAGCAAATCATTATTGATTATTTTAGACTATATCATAACCTCTATGTTCAAGTAGTAATCTAATGTTTTATTTGGAAATATTTAAAATTTTTTAAAAACATAATAATAATAATTATAATAATAATAACAATAATTAATACAAATAACTATAACTATTTCTTTTATTTACGACTATTTTTAGGTTGACACATGGAAAATAACAGTAAAATGATACTTCAAAACAAAGATTTGAATTCATGTTATTTCATAGTAGTACAAATTATATTAATAATGGAACAAAACAATTATATTTTTATAAGTTATCAGAAAAATTTTGATTTCTTTTTAAAATACTTAATTATGAAAGATATCACGAACCAGCAAAAGTATATATCAGAATATTGCAGGTAAATAATTATTTTTTATTGAAATCCATGTTTATTTATAATCAGTATAATGTTATATTAACAATTATTTTTTTATTAATTTTTTATATTTTTATAGCTTTAGCTGATTTTATCTTTTAAATGCCAGAATTACAGAATCCTATAATAGATGATTCAATAGATGGATACAATGTTTCAAGTTTATATTCAAATTTAAGCAGTGCTTTGCAGTGCATAAATGTGAAATCTTTTACTATTTCATTTTTTATAATTATTGTGATATTACTATACATAGTAAGTAAACATGAAATCAATTAATTGATAAATTAATTTTTAATAAAAATATGTATATAATTTACTTGTAGATTTTATAAAACAAGATGAATTGATCTTACACGAAGAATTCATCTTACATGAAGGATTTATGAATCATATACGCATAAAATGCAAGTGTTAGAAGAAAAGTTACTTGGAGGCAGAGAGATGACAATACTGTAATATCAATGACTGTGTCAGCAATCAAAATTAGATCTTAATTTTTGAACAATTTCGTTATATTCCTGTTGCTCATAAACACATGAACAAGTAAAAGTTTTACTGAAATGATGAATTAAATTTGCTGAAATTTGTTCAGTTTTTATAGCTAAATTTGTACAATTGGAAATATTTTTTCAGAACTAATTAGTGCAATATTTTTACTGAATTGGAATAATGTTACTGAAACAGTTTTCCAAATTCTTATGTATCCATGTCAGAATGATTCTAATAAAGGTAATGGCTTTATATTTAGCTTTGATATGCGTTATATAACAAGAGTATTGAGTATGTATACTATGATTATACAAATTTATTCATTTTTATGTTCATCACAAGTTATTTAAGGAAAACTTACTTTTTAGATAGTTATATATATTGAATCATGTATATGTACAGATTATTTAAAATTCTGAATTTTTTACTAAACTGATTGATTAAAACAAGTTTAAGCAATATAGCTCCAAATATCTTTACAAGCATTTGTATCTTTAAGAAGTGACATCACATTATGGGGATTGACACAAATCAAATAATTTCTAGATCATTTTAGAACTAGCTATCATAGTGTCATTAGCTTTCTGAAAGGTATAAAACTGGAGCTTTTATTAATTTTGATCGTATTTTTTACTAATACATATTAATTTTACAATGGCATTATATATTTTATAGGTAAAATTGTACAACAACGAGATAATAAATTACTTCAATACCGCAGAAAATGTATGTAGGCTTTGCTATAAGTAATTAGCGTTTAAATTGTGAAATTTGATATCAATTTATTTCTCTTGATTTATTTTTTTGATTATTTCAGGGTCGAATATGCAAATCTTATAGATCATATGCTGAATTGTTTAACGATAATTGATTAGTTATATCTGTAGTTGAACAAGAAACCAACTTTAAATTCTAATTTATATTTAATGCCATATTATTGTTTTTATGTCATGTATTCCATGCCTTTTATGTTCATTATACGTTTTAAATGGGCATGCTTATAACAAATGACGTTATGAAAACCGAATTGGATATTTTTAAAACATAAGAATATATAAACAATTGTATTTTTTAGTATATATACTTAAAATTTTGTAATACTTTGACTTTATTGGGTAAGTTAAGCATAGTAAGTTAATAACTAAGTAATTTTTATATTAAGTTTGAACGGAAAATTATGAAAAATGTGTCATCATTTACAACATTTTATTGTTATAATATTGCTTTTAAATTATTTGTAGATTTTTTCATTTTTGTATAAATTTTTCGAAGGGTAAAATCTAAAATCAATAAACAACTATATTTGATATTTTACGAGTATTTTTTAGATTTGTATGTTATATTTCTCGAAATTTCTTTACATCAATCTATAAATCATAAATTGTAAAAGAAATGATTGGAAAATCGATAAAATATTCTTATGTTTGCATTTAATTCTGGTTATGTAATCCTACATTTATATGTTTGCAGTAATTCTTTACATCTAATAACTAAATACTTATGCAATTGAAGATATTTCAAAATAAAACTTACAATAAACTAACATAACTAAAGTTTGAAATATACTTGATATGAAATTATGAAAATAATGATAAAAAGTTCAATCTTCATAAATTCTTAATATAATTTAAACATTAAATTTTTTTATTATTCTACTTAAAAAAAATAGATCTATAAATTATCTAAAACGAATAACACTTCAAAAAAAGTTGACCAATCAATGCAGTCTAAATTTATTTTTTACGTAAGTTTTTGTTTTCTGTGTAAAAATAATGATCATAATATTTCTGTGATGTTCATCCCTAACATTGAACAATAAAAATGATTATTTCATGAATTTTTTTATGAAATAATCGAAAATAATTATACTTATTTATTCTGTTTGGTAAATAAATGTTGGAACCAAGCAATTTATCAAAATAAATATAGTCTATATGACTAAAAAAGTATGTAGTTTTATTTGATTTGCTTATCATCAGTTTACTGAAGCTCTTTCAATAATATATACGTTATCTACATTATTTTATAATACTTAAAAAATATTAAATATTTAACTAAACAGCTTTTTATACTTTAATATCACAAATTGCCAATTATTTAAAAGAGAAGAAATTCGGCGCGGTGATAACTATGTTAGAAAAAAAGAAGTGCGAGTTTGAACAGGGCATGTGTGTTGCACAGTAAAGAGGAGTGGCAATAGTTGAAGGCAAAAAGGTACATAGATGCTTCGAGAGAGCAGCTCGCACGTCAGGCAAGTTGTTTTTTACAATCAATGTATCCTTAAGAATACCGTATATAAGAAATTTATATTTTGAATGAATGTCATTGTATTTTGAGGGAGTGGCAGGTGTCGCCAGTCAACTTTATCTTTGTTCGAGGTTATGTCGAGCTCTCAGCCTACGGAATATTTCAACCGGCTTTTTCTACGCCGAGACTCGAGCCTTTTTTGCACATTCCTTAATGATGATGCTTGAACTTTGAGCAGGTCAGTCGATTAATTTTTTATTTTTAGCTGTAGTGTTAATGTGAATATTTTCGATCATGGTAGTTTCTTTTTTGGGCGATTGCTAAAAAACGTGCTACAAATGGAACTTTCTAATTTTGGTATTACTCATGGTTATTTTAATTAAATTTGATTTCGGAGTCACGAAAGACGTACATTTACTTTGTTCGTTAACTACATTTTATCTCTGGAAGCCAGTCAGTTCCAGTAGAACGTTCGAGAAAATGAATAAAAATTAAATTTTATTTAAAATTTTTCATTCCTAAATAAATACATATATGTATTGGTATTTACAGTAATTCAGAAATACATTATTTTTATGATTGTACGTTTACTCAGTGGCTTAAACAGGGAAAACCAATACAAATTAATTGTCATTATATAACACGTCTGACAACGCTTGCATCTCTGAGCTAAAAATAAAAAAACTGCCAAATCCTTACGCGATTTGATATGAATCACACAACAAATTTTTTGGCAATGAATTGTTCAACTCGTTCGTATCATGTAAATGTAATTCTTAATGGTTAAATGATACATGATTCTTATCAATAGCAGTGTTGTCAGATTAAAAATGAATTTGACTCATGGACTACTGTTATTCGAAGTGATTCATTGTAACTTGAATCGTCTCTATTCAAATTGGATTCTTTGTACAATATTTTATCCATGAAAGTGAACTTCGTTCAAGAGCAATAATTGAAACATTGACACTGCAAAGCCAAATAAAATGAAAGCAGGTGTGACGCCAAAAAAAAAAAGAAAAAAGCTAATGGCACGAATCTCTCCGTATTGTTTGTCTGAAAAAACAATTGGCGTGATATAAGCCAAAGCCTCATCAAGCTAAATACAAGCATTCCACGATTTCCGCGGGCGAAATCCTTCGCAGTGAGATGTAGCTGTTCGCGATGACTAACAGGATTAGTCGTATAAATAATCAGAGTAACCCTTTGGCAGTGTGCGCGAAGGGAATGCACTTTCGCACTGTTTTCTTTGCTTTGTCAAAAAAGTCTTCGCGCACACAGACACAGGACATTGGCAGCGATCCGGAGGCTTGAGTCACTGCAGTGTGAGTGAGTCAGGCCAGAAATCGGTTTCTAACAAAGGAATGCTGTTGCAGTGGAGTCTGGCACGTGTGTAGGCTGTTGCCATCGTCGTTGTCGATTCATCAGCGGTTTTGCTCTCCTTGCCGCGCACTTTTTTTAAAGCATATATATACCCAAGTAATGGTTTCGCTCGCTATACTTTTCAACAATTGGATTGTCTATCTTCTTTTTTCCGTCAGATCGGAGCGTCGGTAACTGATTTTGCTCTCTCTCTCTCTTTCTCTGTTTGTCTCTGTCTGTCTGTTTCTCTCTCTCTTTCTCTCCCTTTCTCTCTCTCTCTCTCGATGTCACACGCTGCGTGTAATATTCAGCTAAAAAATCTGAGCAGAACTTTGGCTTTGAATCTTTTTTGTTCGACTTTAATGGTATATTTAGTTCTTATTTAAGTTTAGACATTAATAAAACTCTTGAAACGAAAGCATCTCCCTTCATGACCAAAATGATATTTTTGTTACAAAAGAAGACCATTTACAACTTTATTAAGTGGACTTTTATCAGTGAATGCCAGTTCGATAGTTAACGGTTTCATTATCATCATTGATAAATTGAAATAACTTTGAAAGAAGCTTGTAGAGAAGATCAAAAGTATCCGTTGCATCTTAAAGCCTTACAAAATCGTAAAACCACGATTACAGTCTCTCAGAAAGAGCGACAGGGGGGGGGGGGGGAGCTTACACGCGCGACAACAAATCGAGACGATGAAGTGTGCGGCCAACGCGTAAGTAAGTATGTACCTGCTCTTCCTCTGCGTCGTACACTACACATTTAAAGAGCCATCCGTCCATACGTACGTACGTATGACACGCTCGACTCCTTTTACCATACAGCCACGTTCTTTCTCCTCCTCGGCAAATTGGCACATACACGTATACACGCTCAACGAGCTTAAGGACACGTCGTTGCTTCTCTCTCTCACTCTTTTGCCTGTGCGTGAGTTGCATGCTTCTCTCTCCTGGTAACGTATCGAGATAGAGAGAGAGAGAGAGAGAGAGAGAGAGAGAGAGAGAGAGAGAGAGAGAGAGTGAGAGAGAGAGAGGGGAGAACTTGTCGGTACCATTCACGGCTTTCCACCGGGTCCCACCTCCATGCTTCGAGAGCTGGCGGTATGTCGTGCATCGTAAAACTGGCTTCCCTGTATATGCAGAAAGACCTCCATTGTACATATGAGCTGCATGGACGATATGGCGCTTCGACCACTTCTTTTACCATGTACCAGTGCTCTTCCACGAGCTCCATTTTTAAATGGAGATAATTATTTTCTTCATCGGGAACGTCGATCGCAAACAGTCTTACGGATAAATCAGCGTTTTTCGAGTCGTTTGTCTCTTCGCCTAACGCGTGCATCTTCGCCGTTGTGGAGTGCTATGCGCGAAATGAGTCGATTATGAATTGTTTCATGCTCGAGGACTTTATTCATTTTTAATTTATTGCACGATTCCCGGGCGGATGTGCACGAGGTACGAGTTATATGTTTTTCGCGGTGAAAGATTTTTATGTTGGCAGCGACGACGAAAATCCGTCGGATACGTTATTTTTTTCGTGAAAAAGTTATGCCCTGCAGCCATGTTTGGCAAATTGATGAATCATCTCATTGTTCGACATGAGCGTGTGAAGATTTCTGGACAAGTCGGGGGCTACGCAGTAATAACGGATATATGGACCTTCAACTCCGTGCGCATAGGTTTAAAAAGATCGATATTGATATTCGGCGAAACTCAATCTAATACGCAATCGCTGGTTGCTTCCGAATTGATCCTCAGTTTTTCTTAGAAATCACGAAAGAATAAAGTGAAACGCAGCGAAGAACGTCTATTCTGTTATTGTCGCAGATTAACTGTAAGAGTTTATCTGTTTATTCGCGATACGCATCCGCGGTAATGGAATGTTTTTAGCGATCGAACCGATCGCGCTCCGGAGGGGAATTCCACACGTTTTTGCACCTTCTAGATGATTGATGCGCGTTGAAACCATTGCTTTGTCACAGCAACGATACGGCTTGTACAACGGATGAGCAACTCGTGCGTCTCGTAAAAGTGACTCTGCATTTTCTCGATGTGCTCTCGTCGCGTTCGCCAACGCATCTGCGTCGAACCGTGTGCTTTAGAATTGCGCTGTCTCGCGTATCGACGCACGCGATCAAAATTATATCGGAAAAAATTACTCCGCTCATTTTACGTTCGGTTAGCTCGCTTTTCCAAGCCATTTGGCCGAACGAAAATTCGCGCGCGAATGCATGTGAAATGGTTGTAACCCAGTTTCCTGGTAAATATCTGTCTCGCGTGCTTACAAAATTGGCCCACTGAACGGCAATGCTTTGATCTCTTCAGCTGAAATAAGCCACTTGTGAAAGCGGGCGAGCTGCAGCTCCAGCGAGCGTTTTTTTCCTCCCCACGCCCAGCCAACTTGATTCAACTTTAGTCGCGGATTGTCCCGATACTTCTATCTCGGTTCAGTTTCATTCCATCTGACTAGATTTCCCAAAAAAAAAACCCAACAGCATTCCGGAAATGACGTTCGGTACACGCGAAGCGTCGCTGGAGCGGCGATGCAGACCACATAAAGCTCGTGTCGCCACATCAGCGGGCGCAAGCGAATCAATCTGGCGCGGTGCAGGCGAGTCGAGACAAAAAAAAGAGAGGCAGGCGCGAAAAGAAAAAAAT